CGCTGAAAACAAGCAAATCTCTAGATCCAAGTGTCATACTTAGATGGCTGTCGCTTTGCTCACGCACGTGGGTATGATTTGATATAGTATCACGTGAAGTCAAATAGACTTGAAGACTTTGCTAAAAGCAAGTTTGTTTCGATGTTTTGTTGGGGCAACATTTGCTTGTAGCTTGTAGCAAGTGATTAGTGATTGGCTGAGAGTCCGCCAGCGACCAAACAATGAATACGCATCGAAAGAGATGTATGACATTCGCACCAACACCAGCAACACCACAACCACCACCAACCCCAACCACATCGCCGAAGCCTTTCAGTCGCTTTTAGCAGACTCCCCTTCATATTTTTGGAAAGAAAATGGCCGCGTCGCTTTTACCAGACTCCACTTTATGTATTTTTCCCTCCCCTCTCCCCTTCATTTTTTCTTCGGTTCCTTTCTTGCTTACCTACCTTTCGTGTTCCCCCTCTCAAGTATTCTCTCATTATCGCAGGAAGAACAACATCACAGGGGATGACGCCAGCATGGGCGCTGATGCCGATGCCAAGCCAGGTGACGAGTCGTCGGCTCACCCTGGGGAGGAGGAAGCTGATGAGCCAGCAAACGATCCCACTGATGTGGTCAGGGACTCAGAGATTTCGGGGAAACAACAACTTTTGGATGCGTTGGGAAAACTCTTCACTGTCTCTGAGGATGTCAATGTGTGCTTGTATTGTGGTAGCACCAAACATGGCCATCTTGAATGTGAACATGAGAAGAGAGATGAAGTCAGAAAGGTGCTAAAGGCCGTCCGAGCGTCGCTCGAGGCTGATAGTCCCACATCTGATGACGTCGATATGGAGCCTCCTGAGCACAAGAAGGACGGTTCAGGTGCTACTGAAGGGTCGGGGCAAACAGATGAACCTACAAAACCGAGGTTTAGTGAACACCAGTGGTATGACAGCATCAGAACTATGTCTGAAGTTGGTGACCTCGATGAGTATGGTAAATTCCGTATTGAAGGACGTGATGTTACAAAGCTGGGACCACAGAACGTTATTGACCTTAACGAAGTGATCCGAGACGCTATCGTCAGAGGAGGAGGTGACACTTGGTCAGTGCCAGACTTCATGGCAAGCTACTCTGACAACAACATCAGGAAGACCTTCTACAAACGTGTCGAGGCGCCGCAAGATGGTTTCTTGAAAATCATCCCAACCACAGGGGCCCATTTCTTCAATTGCTCCTACTTTGGCGGCGTAGAATATGCGGCCAACTACCGCTTCGAAACTGGCAACCGACTCGACACCTACGAGGACAAGGTGAGTGCCTCACTGAACAGGATCCTACGGCACAACGTGGGGAAGGTATCAGAGCAGCAGAGTCTGCCCTGTGATGACGCCGGCTGGGTGCCCATCGAGGAAGTGCTCAAATGTGAGTCCATCTGGAGGCACGAATATGCACGCTGGCCACACGTATTCCTTGCCCCAAAGGGAAGAGCAAATGATCAGAGCGCATGGAATGTCAATGAGGCGAACTTTCGCATGACATTGCTCTTCAAGATCATGTTCCACTGTGCCAGGTACGGACGTCGTGTGCGTGAACAAGTCTTGGCATTTGGGATCAACAAGGATATTGATCGCCGCAGCCTGACGTGCATTGACAACAATGTCGACGCGGATACGCACATCCCTGATGAAGGTCTACTGCTCTATCCAGTAGCGGTTCGTGCTCCTACGGGGCACAAAGAAGGATCTTCAAGAGACGACGTTTCATTGCTGTCCTCGCTGCTCTCACATCCAATCGCACCCAACACTATTTTGTCATTACCGGTCTGTTTCCACATAACCAAGAAGACCAACCTCCGAAGCATCTGGAGGCAAGGATTAATTCCAGGAGGTCTTGGAGAAGGTCATCGGATGTTCACGTTCTTCAACCCGTACGTCCCATGGGATCACAGATCATGGACCATCACGAAGAGCGTTGATACGCGTAAGGGTGACTACATATGCTTGTTCATCCCGACCGAGACCTTGATGGTGGAATATGGCGGTCGACTAACTGACTCGGGACAGATCGTTTCACCAAGGATCATCCCATTCTCAGCAATCAAAGGAGGATGGATTCAGGACCCCAAGGATCAGTACAACAAGACATGGCTCCGGTTGTTCGTCCCGTCGGGCGACGACCAGGTAGTACGGTCTGGAACTATCAAATCAAGAACGGTAGCCACCAAGGAGTCCATCCTGAGAGTTGCAAGTCAGTGCATCGACGCCGAAGACCAACCGTTTGACGAAATCGCCATGGATGCCATGAACATCGTCAACCAATTCAAGAACAACCTCATCGAGCCTGGCGGACAAGAACAATACCTGGCCCGCATCAAGCTGATTGACTATATAGTCGAACGCAAAAGGGTGCAAACTTCAGGTTGCCGCCATTGTCCTCACTGTCTCAACGAGACGCCGACAAAGCTAGCAGTGTGTCTAGTTTGCTGGACAGAACTTGAAAGTTGCGGGATTCGTCCATATCGGCTACAAGCTCCTGAAGACGATGAAGATGAGGCCACAAAGAAAGAGATCGATGAAGAAGTTCGTCGACAAGAAGAATCGTTGTTCAAGGATACGGTCAATCAAGCCCAAGAAAACGTATCTGAATCCAACGACTATGGCTTCAATCCTGACGAGGTCGACTACAATGAAGGCGATGATGAGGAAATGGATCAGGAGGAGGAAGCTCAGCAGGAAGAAGACGAAATCGTTGAAGAAGACGATGATGAAATGGACGTCGAACCTGATGATGAGCCTTCTGCCAAACTTCCAGCATGGACTAAGAATCTTGAGAGCGGCAGCAAGGGTATGCTAGAAGACGGACTTATCAACAATGATGTCTCCGAGGCCGCGGCTCACTTGTATGACAATGCTGTCATGTCAAAGGTCATCACAATGTTCAGGCACTACTATAACCAGAGAGTCACTATGACCCCAGAGGAGTACCATGTGATGATGACGGAAACCAAGCGAGTCCGGCTGGACCTGGACGACTTCTGCCCCTACACAGGCGAAGACCAGGATGGCAACCTCAAGCGGCCGACAGAGCTGGAATTGGATGAACTCTTTCAGGAGAAAGGGAAAAGGAACTCATGGTCAGAGGGAGAGAAGATGTACTCAGGACGACCAAGGAACATGATGATGCCTGTCATCAAGAATTTGGAGATCTATGAAAAGATGATGGAATTTCTGGTCTGCGCCGGGTACACTCCCGAATCATTGGGTTTCCTCATGCCAATGAACCGAATGCAGGCTGATGCCCAAGGGAAGCAGGAGATGCGAGTGACCATCAGCAATTTTCTTCGACGACTGCTGAAAGGAACCTTTCCAGAACACGAATCATACACCTTCTTTCGCTCCGGGAGCCACGGCTTCCCCAACTGCATTGAACTCCCAGCTTTCTCGGTATATCTGAGTCTGAGAGAGAAGGAACAGAGAGTGGAACTACTCTTTGCAGCCCAACAATGTGGCATTCCTTTACCTCAAAACTTTGTCAGCAAGATGGCTTATGCTATTCAACTGGCTGAAGCAGAGGCGCAGAGGGGAAAGACCGAGATGAAAACGAAGATGGCTCCAACTCTTGGCGACGAAGTGGTAAGTGAAGTATTCAAAGCAGTTGGACATACTGCCGCTTCCAAGTTTGCCACCGCAGACGCGAAAGCCAAATCATCAGCACAACCGTCACAGAAACCTGAACGCACCGGTTCAGCATCATCCTCATCGGCGAGCGCGCCAAAAGCTAAAGCTATGCCAAAATCCCATGAACCATCAAAGGCACCGCCTGCGAAACCCTCATCGCCGAAAGCTGCTCCGAAACGTGCGGCAGGATGGGAGAAAACTCCATCAACACCTCAATGGAAGAAAGTCCGCCGTGAGCAGTGAACTTATTACCTCTGTCCATCAAAATGGTCACTGGACTACAAGATGTGTATCGTCTTTGCAAACAGATGATCAGGAAAAGACCAACTGAGTGGACTCTGAGCGAGGCAGTAGATTAATTCGCTTAGGTTCAAGATTTTTTTTGATATTCCCAATCTGCACGAAATTCTGCAATGTGCACGTGAATTCGTTAGTTAGCATCGTAAATCTTTGGTAGCAAAGTGACCCATTTCTCCCGACGGGTGAGTGGCAAGCTTAGCCAACGTAGAAAAGTAGATGTTAGCTAGCAATAATTCGCGTTGTACAGCTTGACGAAGCGCCGATGCATCGACAGCCATAGAGTAGGCGAACCCTGAACCATTATTCCCTTCGGGTATGTGGGGAAGGGGGAGCCGAATGGCTTGTTTTATGTACATAGGCGTAATTCAGGTAGCAGAAACATTCTAATTCAAAGTTCCCTCTCTCGTGTCCGTGGTTCGAAGAATACCGCGGGCATGGGGGGTGTTAAAGGGAACGAGATGAAACACCATGTACAGCATGCAGTGTTAAAACAACATGCTGTGACCGCCAAACATTGGCTCAAGCGTATGGAGAAAAGGGATGCGTCGTGTGACTCCGCATGACATTTGTCGGCTACCAGTAGCAAGGGTACTACAGGTCTGAGATAACATCCAGGACAAGGATATATTTGTTCACAATATATATATATATATATATATATACATATCCCATTTAATATTCATTCCCATCAATCAAAGACCCATCAAATTAATGTATCACCATTTTGGGGCTTATTGGTTATCTAAGCTTGGGTGAAATCCATTCCCAATGATATTCCCGTTCTATTCGCATAATACGCATTGAAATATCATATGAATATACCAGGGGAATATGAGCAAAAATGGGATTCATCCATGAAAACCATGGATATTCCCATGGAAGTTGCATGCCATTACCCTCTGGTAAACTAACAGAACTATGGAAAATCACAATTTTTAATGGGAAAACTAACTATAAATGGCAATTTTCAATAGCTATGTTAAATTACCAGAGGGTATTCCCATTGATCCCATGAAATATGGGAGAACCTCAGCGAGGTCTGCAAGTTTGCCACGTCTGTGCCGTCGGAAACGGCTTCGTTACAGCCTCCACGGGATCGCCACAGCTGCAGTGGCCACGTGGCGGAAGGGTGGCGTATTTCACGCGTTTGTTTTTTTTCCATACAATGCGGTTATGATGTGAGAATATCACAAACAATAATGAGGATAATAATATATATATATATGATGGGGATATATATATATATATATTATGATCTAATGCGATAATGGGATGTAGAAACCAAATTTTGGGGTTGTAACTGATACAACGGCCAACAATTGTGTTTTGTTTTCAAGGTTTTAAGCATAAAAACGGAAGTACATGATGGGATATCATGGGAATGAACAATCTATAAACAAATTGTTTGGGTTTGCCTGAAAATGGTGAAAATCGGGGATAGCTCAACATGGCACTTTTTAATGGGGAAACTGTTGGTCAATCATTATTGGATTAGTGGAGGGATACAGTATACCACTGATATTGCATGCCGAACCCCAGCCCTTTTTTGGAGTTTGCAGCTGTCACAATGGTTTGGCGCCCAACAAGAACAGTGGAAGCAAAATGGTTTCTGTCATTATGTAACGGTGTCAGGCATATGCATCCCATGTTTGAACCCTGTGCAGTATATGCTTTCGACATGGGATGCTCATGTGATATTTTGATTAGTGAAACAACATGATCAGTATTATTACCCTCTGGTGAACTAACATAGCAATGGAAAATGGCTATGTATAGTGGATTTTCCCATTAAACATGGTGATTTTCCATTGCTATGTTAGTTCACCAGAGGGTATGGTCTATGTCGTTTGTCAGTTTGTTTAGATCATCACCGGGGTATTATGTTAATATAATAGCATCATGGCTTAAAACGGTATCCAAACACATGGGTATGACGCTTCCTGAGGTTTTCGCGCGAAATCAACGGAGAAATCCTGGCAGACTCTCGGCCATGGTTCTTCTTTTGGATAAATGTGGGAATATTCTGCAAACATGGGGAGACCATCATGAAATACAATAGGTAGGTATATGTTGGATACTGATTAGTGTAGGGCCCCACCCCCTCAACAATTTTAGGTTACTCAATAACTCGGCATTTTCTGGCCCCCCCCCCTCAACAATTTTTAGGATAGTCAACTTAAGTAAGGATTTCAATTGACATCAACCGACTTTCAATTGATTTTTCGTTTAAATAAAAAACATGCCCCAAAAGATTTTTTGCACAATAGGGTACCATCGAAACAATTACATTATTGAAGATCGGGGTTATTTTTTGATCAGGGTTTAATAAGGCACCTAATTATTTGAGAAACCTTGCATTTTCAAGGCTTTAACATGGATATTGTTTTCTAAAGTGTGCAAATAGACCAGCTTTACCCAAAGAAAGGTGTATAAAAGTGGATAAAGCTCATCCTGAAAAAATAAAATCTGAGAAACAACTTCTCACAACTGAGTTTTTTTCAAAATATCAGAAGATACTCAATATTTTTTGGAAATTGTCTCACAATAGAGTCCCATGTCACTACAGTAATCGGGATCCAACATTATGATAGTAGGAGAGAGGTACAGTATATGGTACATGAAACGTGCATGATAGTATATATGAAGGCTTCTAATCTTGATTGTTGTTCAACCAAAAAATTGGGGATTGGTTGAGATGACGGGCCATGACACCCAGCAGCTGGGCGATGATGTTGGAACAGGTTCCATGTTATTTTCTGGTTCGTGGTTTTAAATAGATTATTTTCATATTCCCCAGATGTATGTATATATGTTCAACATGTTTGAGCCAAATTTAGAATGATAATCCCCAAGTATCCCCAAGTAATATGTTTTCGAGTGGCTCAACCACAAAAAAGTGTTTCTTTCGGGGTGCAGTATCTTTGTCCTTCGCCTCATTTTACCGCGTCACTCCTCAGGAAGCCGCAATGGTCAGCAGCAGTGGAGTGGTACTGGATTTGTCGGCCTGTGGGGATTTGTGCCGCTCAGCGCAGTTGTGGCTGCTAAACCCTGTTTCAATAGTTATTGAACGAGGTCTTTAACGGTTTGACAATCTTGAAGCATCATGTATATATATATAATTAACGGACATATAACTGAGACATAAATATGTGTCATTGATAAATATAAGATTGTTATAGATGGTTTTACTGCAGTTTTACCTGTATATATATATATACGGATACCTTTTAGCCAGCCAGTAGAAAGTGATGGGCAGTGGTATTTTTCATGGCTCCACTGGTTTCAGACATGTTCAGAATTCCTTTGAAAGGAACACGTCCACAATGATCATTGGAGGATGCTACTTTTTCATGTGGAAGATCCCCCACCTAGTGTTGTTTGTGACGTTTTCAGGTATGATGTCAACCCTGGATTGATAAACCTTCGTTTACTATATTTAGTTGGGCCGGGTCCTCAAAAAAAAAGATAATACCCTCTGGTAATTTGACATAGCTATTGAAAATTGCCATTTATAGTGGATTTTCCCATTAATAATTGTGATTTTCCATAGTTATGGGACAGTTTACCAGAGGGTAATACATTACTGTGATGTATCCAAAAAAATGCACCCCTCTTGGTGCCAAGGCGCTGCGTTGCATTCCTTGATGACGGTGACGCTATGGCAAGGCACCCTACGTTTGGAGGCGCCTGTGCCCGGTGGCACTGGCCGCAGGATGTCCCCAATGTTCTGGCCAAAGGTTGGTGAAAAAAGAGGGAAAAATCCCACTGACCAGTCAGTTTTTTTTTCTTTTAATAGGCCGAAGAGTTATATTCCAAAACCTAATCCCACATATTCTCTCAGTTTTGCAACAAAAAGGCTGAAGAGATATATTCCAACACCTAAATGATGTGGTGGACACTCCTTCAGCTGCATCCTCTCAAAAAAGGCCAGGGAATTGAACAGCACGTGATGCACATGTTGTTTGTTACTTTCGCCTGCTGGGCCAGATTTGTAGTTGTTTGACTTCCTCGCAATTATAGAGGCTTCACTGGCTCATGAATAGGAGAGGGATCCACACCAAAATAGGTGTGTTTCTGATTTGGGAATTACTATGCAGTCAGGCTTCAATCATGTCTTTATATATATATATTATATATATATACATGATCAATCAGGAGGGGGGTCATAGCTCAAAAAATCTAGAAAAAAACAATGGCCATGAAAATGCATAGTCGGAATCATCTCTATCAATTTGACCCCCAAGCATAGGCATTTCTGCTGTGCAAGATGTGTGGTTTCAGATGTTGGTTTTGTGCATTTTTTTTTACATGGGACGATCATCATGTTGATCATATCCTATGTGGATGTTCCTATGGGTCCAAATCCTTGCTCGAAACGTACTTGACCAAACAATCATACCCCAAAATGCTGTGTCACAAGGAACTTGAAATTGTTAGGGTGTAACAACATATGGATATACTCTATATATATATATATATTTATATATATAATGAATAATTATAGATAATGAACACATACATATATATATATAAATGAATATATCAGCATATATATATAATTATGAAAAACAATATTTGGTGATATACATATATATATACATGATGATGATGATGATGATTGTGTATATATACATATATATATATATATGTGTGTGTGTGTAAAATGTATAGAGAGAGAGAGAGAGAAAGAGAGAGAGAGAGAGATCGCGATAGTCGCATGTGTATATCAATCTATATTTCCCCTCCAGCAGGAGTGTAGTTCAACCACCAAACAAGTTGCTGGGCAGGTGCTTCGAATTTCCATGAATGGCATTGGCGTCCTGGCCTTCCGTTGATTTCCCACCATTCCCCCCAAAGATTGCAAATTTGATGATATCAGGTGAAAGATCATGGACAAGAGCGTACTAAAGGGAACATTTGGTCAAGCGAATCCTAACTTGACGCTGGTTTAAGCGACATCATTGCACTGCACTTGAGGGTTCTGCTGACTGGCAAATTCAACACCTAAACTGAATTGCTGTGCCATACACCCATATACTTCGGGGATCTTAGGGGTGTTTCCTACGTTTCCCGAAGTTTCTTGGGTGTCCATGCTATCCCATGCCATTGTTTGGAGTACCTATACAGCTACCTAAATGATTGCATTGCTGCTTAAATCATCACGCTTGGCAGTTATATAAATGGAATAATGATATTTACATATATGCATATTTATTTGGAGACCCTACATCGCTGCAGACTTTGATCCATATTTATCCATATTTATCCATATTGTGGATCGTAAGCCAGTAAACCATACCATTTGTGGCTACCAAACCATTAAGCCGCGCCTCCCGACACCTCTCCCAAGGACACAGCGTGTCCTTGGGCAACTATTGAATCCCCAGGAAATGTATGAACCATGACTGGGGGTCAGCTGCTAGAAGCGATTTTTTTTGAAACCTCTGCTGGGGATGGTTTATCATGAGCACTTAAAATTAGCCCATTTTTTTTTCCACGTGTTCCTTTTATATCAATCAATCCATATTCTCCTATTCACATCCTACTATATCCCATGATCATTGAGTTTGCCACATTATATCAACTATCGGATTTATCTCCCAGTTCTTGGTTACCCTCTGGTAATTTAACAGTTCGCTATTGAACATGGCCCAGTCGAAATAGTGGATGAATCCCCATTGAAAATGGTGATGTTCCATAGTTATGGGACAGTTTACCAGAGGGTAATCATTATGAACTGTGATTTCCATAGCTATTAACCACATATTTCCCATGATGGCATTGGAGTGGGATCATCTTCGGGACGGCGGCTGTCGCGCCAGGCCACTCTTTGTCGAGAAGCTTGGGGCCAATAAGGCGGTGCCAAAGCCATGACTGTTTTACCATACCACCTATATATTTATGACCATCTATAAACATACCATACAATCATGTGGGTAAATCATAAACCATCCATGACTGGGAATGGTAACCATACCACCTTCTTATCAATGGTGATGCCTGGGCTGCCTGGGGGATGGTTTTGATTGTTTTACCCACATTTTTTAGGCAAGATTTGGCCAATGTGTCCACTTTTTGGGGGCCGGGGGCCTGTAGTTTATAACCATCAAACATCAAATTGGACAGACAAACATAAGAAGCGGAACATTGAAGCCTTAAGAAAATCAGAGCTGAAATTTTCGTAAGCTGAACATGTGATCCCAGTGGTTTAAGGCAACGGTGTGAAGAATCCTGGTTTCCTGATGTTCCTGAAATCCTCCCAGGAGTCCAAAATGAGGAACAAACCTGCGAAGATCTTCGCGCAGAAATCGCGCGGTGGGCGGAAAAATCAGACTCTTGGCCGTGGTGAAATGTGGTGAAATCAAAACTTCAAGGCTTAACTCGAGATCGGTTTGGCGACGTTGAAATGGTGCTGAAACAGTGATCACTTCTCGAGAGGTGATGGCATCCCCTTGGACTAGGTGAGAATTGGAGTACCTGCTATCGCAAAACCCATGCCTCTTGTATCTCTTTTGTTGCATGTTTTATTATGTTTACTTTACAACCGGTAGAAGTCATCTAATCAGTTTTTAGTTCAGATTCTATTGAGGTATTTGAAGTCATTCTTGTCCCTAACTTGTTCAACTCTGTCTTTTAAATCCAACACAGAAGCCCTCAAAAGGTCTCCAAAAAGCATTTGGAACATCATTTAAGATGAAAATGGAAAATTTGTAGCCAAATTGTATCCCAGCCTGTTGATTTTTTTCAGGTTGCAGGAACCATTATATCATATTATCCATGGAGACTAGCCACGTAAGCACCCCAACAAAAAGAGTCCACCGAGGAAGGGGAAACAATCCAGGCAGCAGTGAGCTGCACCTATGTGCTCCAGCGGCAGTTGGAGGGATGCATTGCCCACCTTTTCCGCACCAGCGCAGATGGCGGACCTGTGTCCGGAGGTTTCAATTCATGTGTGTGTGTGTGTGTCCTAATAGCTTTTTGTATTCCGCAGTATTCTAAATTTGTTTGAAGTGTTTGGATGCCCCAAATTCAAACATGTGAAATATGGATCGTATGTGAGAAATGATTCTTAAGACTTGAGATATCTTAACACTCAGCAACCGAAAGGCATGAGAAGAGTGGACATGAGTGGACCCAAGGGCTCAACAAAAATACCCTTCTGTAAATCAACATGGATCTGGAAATCGGGTTTCCCTATAGGTGTGTTTGCCAAGGACGGCGTAAAGAAAGTACATTATCTTAACACATCAAGGATTTCTCAATGACACCTTCAATTGGGCCTCGGTTCTTGCTAGTACTCTTTCACATACCTGAGAGAATTTGTTCTGAAAGAAATGTTGAGAAAGTCAATGAATTTTGCTGCAAAATACTAACTATATATACTACTTGCTATAAGGCCATATAGGCTATATACTATAATACATCTAGAAACTATGATTTTACAATGCCACCACCAATACTACTTCGCATGACCTCCAGTGCTGTCGCAACATGACCGCTGAGATGTACAGGTGTGTACAGCTGTGTGCCATCATCGTTGTTGGTGCCATTGGCAAAAAGAGTGCCTCACCAGGACCCCCCATGCATGGAATCAGTGCAAGGCATGTTGCCTGATAGACACTTGCCTAAATTTAAAATTAGGGTTATAAAAATGGAAGATTGGTAAATATTGGGAACATATGGCAAAATTGGTTCACCACACATTCTGTGTTTTACATGTTTAACTACTTGGATGTGCCATGCATGTAAGACCCAGAAAGTGTTCCACCAACTGTGGGACCAGTCAGCACGCAGAATGATCACAACGAACCTAAAGCTTAACCCAGTGCTACCCTTCCACCCAATAGGGTGATTTGGATGAGGGTACTCGAAAACCTTACATGGTTCAAAGTTCAAGACCAAAAGCACCATTGAGTGCACCAGTGTGATAGATTATTGATGCAAGAAACTGGGAGGACACTTGGCAAACATCGGCATGACCGGCCGAGGAACAGGAAACATGCTGCGTCCATCGATCACATCATGGAGTCCCGGCATGCATTAGGGGCATTGGCTTCGTTATGGGCCCCTTCAGTCAACCATTTGTGCTCTCATCCGCGGAAATATCAGAGTTCACCCAAACAGGTACCCAGTCCTTTGACCAAACACTCACATATGGCGGCTGAGCAAGCCGCAAAAGAGACTGATGGTGGTTACTCTAAAAAGACACACAAACCCTTTCGCAGTGCCATAGTTGTTTCGTTTTGTTTCGGCCACAACCCTTTTAATTTTGAGAGGGGTCCTGTAGATTTCCGTGATCAAATAATTACTTGTATGGAGCTTAGGCAGTGCATGATTGGTTCACATGATTCACCAAGTGTTTGTTATGGTACTCAAAGATACTCAAAGTACTGCCTTTGTATGGCGGTAAAACCATGTAAAACCAACATTTGCAACTCTTAGATTGGAAGGACAAATCTTTGGACTGGCACTGATCACATTCTTTCGAAGTTTTAGTCGTTGTTTCTTTCTGCCCTGAAGAGATTTGAGCAGCAATGTATTATTTGCTGGACTAGCCGACTAGCCCGGACAATCGTGACTGATACTGTATACTTTGTTTTTGTTGTGTTCTGTTGCTGCGTGGATATCTTACGGCTCTTCTTGGGTTCATGTTTGCCATATCTGCCTAATATCTGTCATTTCTTACCCTAGAAGTTTCAGATGCCAGGCTTGACTGTCCAAAATGTAAGTGGTGACAGTGGTGACCCACCATCCGACCATCCCCAGCTGTGACTCTGTGGCCTTTCCATGTTGAATTAGCCAATGGTTTGCCATGGTTTGCCTAGTCTCAAAAAATGAGCGTTTTCAGAGACTATAGACCAGTGGAATACCAGTGGATTTCTTTTTAGGGTGAAGAGAAATGTTGAAGTGATCACTGGTCTATAGTGATTTAGGGGGATTTTAATAACTAATGGTGATAGTTATGGTGATATCAAATCAGTTAGGGGGATTCCCCCGATTTCAATAACTTGATGTGATCACTTGGGGATTGATCCGAGGACTATTCCATCGACAGCGGGGACATTTCGTGCGGGCCCCCGACGACGTTATGATGGTGTGGTCGTTTTACTTACCTGCAGCTTTGATGTTGTCCAACAAAATGCATATATATAAAGAGGAGTAACCATGGCCGCTAGGTAGTGGTACGACGGTTTATGCGTACACATGTGTGCGCAGCCGTTTGCATCTCAAGCCCAAATCGGGCGAGTCACCATCCCTTACGAGGGTGATCCCCCATACGTGGGAGGACCTCTCCCCTCTTTTGAGGGGATGCCGGGGCCATGGATTCAGAGTGCTTTGGACCCTGGCTGGCTGGCTGGTCAAAGCTACCCTGAAGGTTCCACGGTGGAGTTCGTTGCGTACTGGCGGGGCGCTAGGACTTTGAGCCGTGTGCTGGCGACTGTCCTTAGCACCCAAGAGCTTGGAACCCCCCGGCATGAAACCAAAGGAAAATGGCTGGCGATTCAGGTCAGATGTGTCGAAGATCATAAATTGTTCCAGTGGCTTGGAACCGGCGGTGGTGCCAAACAGAAGGGGCGTTTTGACCTTCACCTGTGCTTAGGTCAGGTTGACAGGTGTACCCTCGTCAGAGACGAGGAGGAGGTGGAAGTGCACACGGATACGTTGAGGATGATAGGGCCTCGAGACCTAGAGGAAAGGATCTCTGAGTGGTGGACCACGAGCCCAACAAAAACAGACTTTGAGGCTCTGCGGGCTCGAGTGTTAAGAAACAGCAGCACAGGGGCCAAGGCCCAGGAAGTGCCTCCTCAGAACGTAGGCGGCACGGAGGCTAGTCAGCCGGGCTGTCCAGGGGTCTCGACAAAGGCCTCGCGGAGGAATGAAGGCCGCGATGCCGTGGGTGTGCACTTTTCCTCTCCGGCTCATGGCGAGGACCGCTCAAGGGCGAAGGGTTCCGGCCGATGTCGGTCCCCAGAGGAGTCGAGGAGATCAAGGAGGTCGTTCAACCGGGGGAGCCCCGATGGTTCTCTAGGTGGCAATGTGGGCCGCTGGCTAGTGGATGCACCGTCTCGGCGGGGACTGAAAAGCCCTGACTCATCAGGAGCGGGTGGAAGCGGTGACGGTCGGCTTTCAAGAAGGAGAAGATCGTCACATAGGGAACCTAATCCCGAGAGGGCCAAGGCTCTGAGCTCAGACCATGGAGATCAGAGAGCCGGGCGAAGCCGGTCCCACGGGATGGAGGCAGCCCGAGGAAGGAAAGGTCGGGGCCCTTCGCGGAAGGGTGAAAGGGGCCCCGGTCGAGAGGACATTTACCGGCATGAAAGGGAGCCGATGAGACCTGGCCGGGAGCCGGATCATGTGCATATACCGGGTCAAGCTCTACGGACAGGGCCGGACGGGCTCGATCGCGGACTGATCCGCCTGAAGAGCGCCGTGGCACGATCCGGTTGCGGAGCATCAGCCCCAACGCAATGGCTCAAAGATCTCAAAGGACTGCTGATCAGTCAGAAGCTGAGGATTTGATGTGTCAAGGAATTGAGGTACTTGGAGGCATTGACTCGGGACCAGAGGATGAACGGCGCCATGCGCAGCTGTCGTGTCCTGGGAACCAGAAGGTACAGGGAATGTGGCAGGCACACGCCAGGTCGATTCTCACCAAGATGTGCTCCTTCGGGAGTGTGGGAGGTCACCTGTGTGACTTAATATTGGAGCTGGATGGCCCCCTGGGGGAGTTCGCGCGCCTGTATTGTTCAACGCAGCCGCCTCTGGCCGTGAGGCCTTTTACAGAGAGGCGCGGTGACGTACTCCCCATTCATCCGGAGGCTGTCACCACGGAGCTCGAGGGCATTGACTCCCGGAATTTGCAATGGGTGAGAGCGACCATTATTGTCCTAAACTACCTGTACTGCTGGGGCGGCGCCAGGCCTGTCGCAGTTCCAATTCAACCCTCTCTAGGATTGAATCAGCTTAAAGCTGTGCAGAATCTAGGGGAGAACTTCAGGCTCAATTTTGGTGAGAATGACCAGGTCCCGTCACTAGCTAGGGTCCAAGCTATGATGAGCAGCGGTGGCAACGAGGACCGGGGAAAGCCCGTCAGGTGCATTGACACGTTGGACGCTGAGAAGGTGATCGCGGCCTGGCCCCCGGTCGGGGGCGCGAGAGCTGTGCCCATCACAGAGATGCTGGATGGGTATCTGATGGGAGCGGTTCGTGACCCTACGGGGTGGTGGCTTCCAGATGATGTGCGGCCGCTCAAGCGCACTAGATCTGAGGTCAGGGCCTCAGATGAGACCTGGTACAAATTCATGAGCGGGGTCTGATGAAGGTGGTGTCCGACAGCCTCTTGCATAAAGACCGAGAAGGCCACTATGTCACGAACGGGGCCGGAGGAGTTGAGGTCCAGGTGGACGTCAGTGGCCGATTAGTGGCAGCTCAGTGGTTTGTCCCGATCATGTTGCCCAGCAACGAACACTCTGAGCGGCTGCCAGGGGGCCGTGATGTGCTCCCCTACGGGGGTTTGTTGGAAGCGATAGTTCTGCCTGAGGAGGGCGATTACTACATGGAATCGTGGCCACTATCGCGCGCTTTGTCCGTGTTCTCGGTCCCCGACCTTTGGCTCCCGCACTTTGCTTTCTCAAAGAAGGTATGCGCATCCGCCTTTGGGGGAACGAAAGGAGTGCAAGTGAGGCCAGCGTGGTGTGTGCTACCTTGTGGTTGGAAAAACACACTGGCTTTGGTGGAAGGAGCCCTGCGCCTCTTAGTTTTCGGAAGATGTCGGGTGCCGAGGCCGGCTCCCACAACAAATCGGTGGCCCCCGCTGAGCAGTGATCAGCTCGCTGTGGACTGCTCCGACTTCATTGCGGAGTTGCTTTGTATGAGAGATTTCTGTCAGGAGCTCGACGCTGGGGTGCACTCTGAGAAGCACCGCCGTTTCGAGACGGAGTGCAGGGCCACGGGCCTGCCAATGGAAGCGACTCGGCTGGTGATGGAAACCCTTACGAGGGGGGTCAGTGCAGGGGCCATGGACGGGCCCACGGAGAGCCTGCGGGCGACGAGGCAAGAAGTTATGGACTTTGTGGCTTTGTCGTTGGGCCTACTGCAGGCACAAGTATGGCGGGCACCGCACCTGCACTATAGGAAAAGCCATTTACATGGCGTCCTTCAACCGCCCATTGTTGTCTGTCTTGGAGGCAGTTTTTCCGAAGTTCACGTGGGAAGCAGAGGAGCGTGCACCTTCCTTGAAAGAAATCGAAGAGGTGACTTGCTTCATGGTCCTGTCTGTTCAGGCCAGCTCCCCACTCAAGTTCGTGATGTCAGAGGTGATTTCGTGCTCCAGCGCAACGCCCACGGGCGGGTTTTGTGTGTGGAGCTTGCGGTTGCGTATTAGAGCCGGACACAGCAGTCTTCCCTTGCCCACGGGCGTGTGGGATGCGGGGCTGCACCATCAGATGCGCCCAGTCGCACTTCGAGCAAGGCGAGTGCCCGCGAAAGGACTTTGCGATCCCACGGTTCGGGGAACGCTTTGCTGGAGTCAACTATCCATTGACGATGGCAGTGGCGCTGGCCGGCGGAGCTGTTCAGCGACCCCTGGGTCTGATGATTGCTGACAACTCCTGGGATTATTTCTCGGAGCCGGGAAAGGATGCGTTGGAGTTCCTGGAGGAGGACCCTGCGCTGCGCTGGCGTCATTGGTCGCCCGACAGCTTTTCCTTTACAGCCACCCTGAGACGCGCGGGGGAGAGAAAAGGAAAAGGAAAGAGGAAGGGCCATGCTCGACTCAGGACAGAAAACCAGCCCTGGGGCGTAGATCGCCTGTCGCGTGACGATCAGGTGATAGTCCGGCAGGAGAATAAAATGGCCAAGCGCTGCCTCAAGGGGCTGGAAGCTGCTGACCGCCAAGGGGGCTTCGCGGCCCTGCTACACCCCTACGACTCTCTCCTATGGCGCACAGAAGAGGTGGAAGAAATTCGGTCACGCCCGGGCTCCATGGTCTCCTCATGTTCGTTCTGTTGTTTTGGGGGCCGCAAGGCAAGTTGGATTTCGCTGTTGCACAACTCTCCCAGAGTGCATCAAGCGTTGCACCACCCGCGATGCCACTGCGCCCGCTCCGAGGAATCAGGGGTGCACCCGTCATGGCGGTCAGGCCCGGGGGAGACCAGAGGGACAGAGGAATATCCCTGGCGGTTCTGTGTGGCGTATGCGGGTGCTGTCGTCGCAGATTTGAGGGCGTTGATGATTCCGCCCTTGGGGACGGCACAGTTTGACCTTCCCCACCTCTTGTACAACCAAATCATGGGGTCAGCCAGAGGAATGCAAAGTGAGGACCTGGTGTATAAATTGGTTGTTGAGGTGGAGGAAATGGTGAGGCACATGGAGCTGGGAGATGAACAGAGGCACCTGGCCGGCCTGGCGAGGCATCTGAGACTCAAGGGCACAGATGCCAGGCTGCTGAGCCCAAAGGAGGAGACAAATGGTAGGGAGGTGCTTGTCCCGTACCCAGCTTTTCGGTGGAACTGGCGCTCTTGCCTGGCCCATGAGTGGCCATCACAACATGGCCTTCGTGGTCTTGAAATGGTGGCCATGTTGGCCGAACTGCGCCGCCGCGCCCGATCGCCTCAGCAATTTAACCAAGTGTACATCCATGTGGTGGACAGTGTCCCGTGTCTTTGGGCCGTGGAAAAAGGCCGTTCCAAATCAAGGCGGGTCAACCGGGTCCTGCAAAGATTCCTCGCCTTGGCTATGGCCGCAAACATTCATCCACTGGTGACGTGGACCCTGACCAAGTGGAGTCAATATGGAAAAGTGAAACCGCAGAATCGCGGGTAGGTCCAGGAAGGCACTCATCCTTCCACCCCGATGAGTGGTGTGACCGTTCAAGTTTCAGTTGGGACGATTGCCGAATTGCCCTGGGCTCGGGTCTTTACCCTCCAAAGCCCTTGAAAGGCATTGAGCGACGAGGAAATCCCGTGATTCGAGTTGAAAAGGCGCCTTTTTCACCTTTTGGTTATTTTGGATGCCACCAGTATTTTTCAGCAGTCGCGCCGCGCGTCAATAGATTGGCATGTGCCGCCTCCTTAGGCTGAATTTGTGATTTGATGCCCTACGGGGTCGTTGGATGCTGAAATATCAGACGCGCGCGCCTGCTGGTAGTTTCACTATGTACAGCAATAAAGCGGTTGAGTTCGCTCCGGTACATAAACTCCCGCAGCACCAAGTTCTTCTTTCAAAGGGAGAAAAAGACGATCGCTCTGCTTTTCTCTTGAGAATCGCGGGCATGTCTCCAGTCGTTTTACCTTCTTGAGGGTTCAGGAGACTAGTCTATCACACTAACTACCGTTTTAAAGGGCCATTCCTCTTTCAAATAGCTTCGCCAAGTTCGGAAAAGTGGGCAGGTTGGGGCTCTTGAGCCTCTGCCGGTTGGGGCTCTTTAGCCTCTGCCTTGGTGCTGTATTCCCTTGTGTGGTCTCCCTTTAAAAAGAAAAGGGTTGGCAGGTCAGTGCTCTTGAGTGCTGCTGCTCGGGGGGCCGCTGTGGTTCTTGAACCGGCTCTTCTGCCGCTGCCCCCCTTCCTTCTTTTTCCCTTTTGGCTTTCGGGTTGGTTTTGGGTTCTTTAACCCTTGCTTCTTCCGTTTTGCGCCTGCGGTGGCTTTAGTTGGCTCTTGAGCCCTTGCTTTTGAGTACTTTTCCTTTCCTGTTTTTAACAACAGCCAGGTGGGCAGGTTGGGGATTCTTGCCACGGCAAGTCCATCTATGGGTGGGGCCCCTGGGGTGAAACCCCTAAATTGTATAGGCACTTTCAAGTGCTCCGTGTTCACCCCAACCTTGATTCCCAAATCGGCTGCGTTGAAAAATGTGGGCTAGCTTAAAAAGAGGAGTAACCATGGCCGCTAGGTAGTGGTACGACGGTTTATGCGTACACATGTGTGCGCAGCCGTTTGCATCTCCCTTCCCTCCCTAACCCTGGGCAGGTTGGGGATTCTTGCCACGGCAAGTCCATCTATGGGTGGGGCCCCTGGGGTGAAACCCCTAAATTGTATAGGCACTTTCAAGTGCTCCGTGTTCACCCCAACCTTGATTCCCAAATCGGCTGCGTTGAAAAATGTGGGCTAGCTTAAATATATATATATATGTGATTCTATATGCATCTATTATATATTAAGCGTTATTAAGTTTATGTATGAACCGTGCTCATGTTTGTTTCTCTGGCTATCACGTAAAACTTGTAAGAGACAATGCAGGTCCTGCGTTTGGTTCCTACCATGACCCTTTATTCGTTTGGAACCCAGGCCAGATCCTCTCACCAGTCCGTCACTGTTGCAGGATGGAAGACCTCGCATCTTTTCGCCTGGACTTTGCCGGCATCGCGACTTGGCCCATGCCACGCGGGGAAGCATGGCCCATGGATAAGTGGTGACTTAACCAAGAAAACATGGTGATTGAACATGAACATTACACCAACAGAAACGAAGGCGGCAGAATGGAGGGTCCCGTAGAGTAGTGGACACTTGTCCGACGGTCCGATGCTGGTGTCCCACGTGAACAGCAAGCATTTACATTTGCATGCGTAAGTACCTAGAACTTCCAAAGAGAATTCTTTTCCGCTCACTTTGTAACTGCTCGATTCAAAAAAGACATGTTCGGCAGGTGAAAAGAATGATCGAATATAATTCCCTCCCAAAAGTGCAGTTTTTGGAAGCCCGCAAAATTAAGTTCGTTCAGCTTGAATGTACTCATTTTATCCCAAAACCTCGCAGGCATTGAGCAAAAAAGTTTACCCAAACGAAAGGCCAGGATGGCCAGGTATATACGCATTCCGTGTGTAATACAATAGACTGGATGAACTATGACGATATCACTGCGACATATATAGGTGAAATATGGTGAAATATATTTCAATTCATCCAGTATATATAGTTGTGTTGAAGCATTTTGAGTTACATATTTTCCGAGTATGAAGAACAGATTAGTTTGATTACTTGCACCACCGTCCCACCGTTACGCATTTTGACTAAATCTGCAAAGTAAATCATTTGCATACCCAGCTGTTACCATGAACAAAGTACTGAGTAACAAAAGACAAAGTCAGTTTTGTAGCCAACTTTCTTAAGCAACTATACAAAAATTAACTTTGGCTTAATGATAATCATAATTATGATCCAAATCATAATCATCATCATCAATTACTAATCATCATTACCATCACATCATATTATCATCACTATTAATGGTTATAGCTAATGGTTATATAGCTATGTTTTTCTTTTTTTTCACCAAGTTCACAACGTGTGGATTGCTCCTTGGTTCGCAACGCCTCAGGACGAACCACCGAGCCTGTCGGACTTCGTCGGCGCCTTCACCACTGAGGCGCCTTTTACCATGTGACGATGGGATGGAAATTGGGCCATATTCTCAACATCAAACGTATTGGGAAGAGATTTATATATACCATCTGGCTATGACTAACAGTTTGCCATGGAAAGATCCACCATTTTTACTAGGTAAACCATCTATTTCTATGGGCCGTTTAATAGATTCATATCCCATATGCTCCATGTATGGTATATTTACCTACATTTGGGTGATCTTTAGGGCAAATGTTGGTAAATATTCCAGCACCATGGAGCATATGGGTATATAATATAATCCAATCCCCTCCCCCTAATATAAAATTAATATTAAACACCCCCTAAACGAAACCATGGTTTAGTAGGAAATTTCCATATAGAACCATTTGGGGGGTGTTTAATATAAGGGGGATGGGATTAGTTGAGTTAAAGGGATGTACTCGTAGTATGCTTTCATAGCGATGTATAGCGAAGAACATGCGGACATTATGCAGTGATGACACAATGCTGGGATGTAGTATGAAGGAGGTAAATATGAGATGGGTTTGTCCAAAAACATGGCGGATTTACCCTCAGCATATGGCCATTGAAAGATGATAAACTGTTGAAATTGCAGGAAGACTTGTTGGACAAACCAATTTGGGAATTATATAAATTGGATTAGTTTGGTGCCTTTCGTGAAGCAAACATGTTCGGAGGGGTTTTATGAGCTTATACTAAGTGTTTCGTCAAAATCATGAAAATAAACGCAACATCACTGACAATTAAACTTACTCCTTCATCAGTCTGAACAATCATAGCTTCAGTATGTTCGAACCCCCGTTTACGACATCTCTACTTGGAGATGTTGTGTCAGCTTCTCCACAAGCCAACAATCATTCACAAGCATGTCAGTGATTGAAACATTTTAGAACCACTTCCCCTCCTGTAGTTTAACATAGCTATGAGGGAACATCCATATTTGCAAAAACTATAATCTATTATTTATCAATGTATCCTAGTCCTTTCTCTGTAGCTAATATTACATTGCCAGAGGGTAGATCCACTTGTTCAGTTCAGTTCTGCATCGCCAGTGGAAAGGGTTTGTCCACAAACCCCTGACCCGCAGGAAGTGTCTTTTCACGCCAGCTTCCTAACTACTGACGAGGGTGCTTGTTGATACACGCGCCGAGACATAATCGGGATGTTGAAGGCTTTGGTCATAGCTTTGGCACCCAAGGTTGCAGCAAGTTTGGGAAGTTGGTGAGCACCCCTTTAAAAACATACCTTGCCTCGGATGGAGTGACACCCCAATACCCTATATGTTATCCATTTAGCTTCCCTAGGGGAACACTTGAATCACAACGGAAGTCCGCATCGTAGCGAGTTTACCCAGATACCCAGGGCTGCTGCGCATGCACATCCTTGTGCAGTTTCTTCCTTGATGTGCGAATCTTTGCCAATAAATTCCCAGAGAGAGAGAGATAGCCTGTCTTGACAGATTGGGATAAACAGAGAGAGAGAGAGAGAAAGAGAGAGCGCGTGTCGGTAGATAGTGCTTGATGCATCAAGGCACAACCAACGTGATCTGTCTATTCACAAGCCACTCAAAGCTTCGCATATCAAATTGGCATATCAATCGGGTTGTCCACCCGGTGGAGTTTGAGAGGGAGCAGCTTCTGAATCCTCTAACAACTTCCAGCAGCTCGTCTTCATTTTCTGGAAGCAACGCGTCTGCCCCTCAGCCATACAAAAACAGAACGGATGGTCCTGGGGAAAGTGATTTTCCACTAAAAGTTGTCCAACAGACTTATTTACAGTGTTTTGCACTCCCCCTACGGTCCCCAGCTCTCTATGAAAAGGGGCACCCTTTCAAAACCAATTCGTAGAATAGAATAAATAGTTCCTCATTACCTTTTGGATCCTCTTAGATCCTTTTGGATTCGTGACAATCAGCCACAAAACTTATTCTTCAGATGTGGCTAGTGGTTTTGCCTTGGGCATGTCTTGACACCACCGGATGGACTAACCTTGTAGCTTTACCGTGGGGTGGAACACCTGTTTGGTGCTGACCCCGCTTTCTCGTTGCACCCCCGAAATGGGGGGGTGCGATTCGACGCAGCCGCTTGAAGCGGCGTGAGATTTGGAATGGTTGGACGGGTTGAAGTCTGCAACTGAGATAGGATTCAGTAACTGGACACGGAGTTTTTGTGTGTATATAATATGTGTATTATATGTATATGTATTGTTTATATAAATATAGTACTGTACTGTAATCTCACACAAAGATGGAACAGTTCTTTGATGTTGTTGGCCAGTATTTATATAAATAGATTTTTATTTTCCTGTTTGTTTGAAGGTTGCTATATAGGCTGCGAAGTGTGGTAAGTTGTGAATACAACTTGGGACTTGTCATCTCACGAAATATCTACAATTATTGGACGTTGGAACCGTCTACTATTTGTTAATATTTTGCCGCCTAGGTATTGCCATAGACACCACCTCATCAACCATAGCAGTTTACCACTAGCCCACCAGGGTCAACATTGCTGGGTGAAATCATCCTTGCGCTGGGGATGTAAAAGTAGGGGCCTACAGGATGGTGCCCCCCAGTGATGTGAATGTTGGTTTATACACCCCATGAATACTATAGTTTTTTTTATATATATCTTATATCTACCATAAACCATAGTTAAGCATAGTTGAGCCACTTGCAACGCAACTGAAGGCTATCTTGGGGGCCCCATCCTGTATTGATATGTAAGACTTTAAGGCATTATTTCTGCTGAAGGCAGTGGTGGGCTCAAGCCAAATGGCTATAATTGGAGAACTGAGACCCTGCTCTTAAAGACTGGGATGGTGAAGCCTCTCCATCGGTGAACCGGCCTTCAGCTATCGAAATCATACAGAAATGAAATGCCGAACGGACCTCGTTCAGCATGTTACCCTCTGGTTATGTCAAAATAGCGATTGAAAATGGCCGTTTATAGCTGAAATTACCCATCAAGAATCTTGATTTTCCTGATTTTCCATAGCTATGGGACAGTTTACCAGAGGGTATGACACTGATCAAACGGTTCCACATTTCAATGATCAATCCCCCGTTTGAGATGTTGCCACTCATCAGCCCATCAGCTCCGGTCGCTCACAGCATGGCGCAATGAAGTTGACGGTTGTGTTGCAGCTATTGGCCACCTTCCTACTCGCGTTCCTTGCTGGCTATGTACCTCGGCAATTCATGACAATTTGGCAATGAAACCACAACTTGAGTAGAAACAGGCGTAGTAACTTAGGAACCCACATATTCCTTTTTTTCTGCTTATATGATTTTTGGGTCTGGGTAATATGGGTAATAGATTTCCGCCAGATGTCATAATGCAGCAACATGCGAAAGACTGCTCTTGTATCAAAAAAAACTACAAACCTACGAGGGATGCTTCTACTACAAGGTTATGCCCCGCCCAGTTATAAGTTATAGTTATAGTACATGTATGTATGTATATATATATATATATTCTAGTATAGTTATAAGTTGGTTTTCTAACTATACTATACTTATCATTGCATATCACCATAAACCTATCATTGTAAACCTACTTCGCCATCTACCGGGCGCCCATTGTACCTACATATGATGTATAGATATAGTCACCGTGCAGTAGCTAACATATCATTAAAAGAAACAAAAACGCACAAACATGAAAATATATTTGAAAATTCCATATCATAGTCTTTCTATTTCAGCATGATTCTAGGTCATACTCATACTTTTTATGTGCATATATATATATGTATGTATGTACGTGTATGTGTGTTATTCATAATATATATATATATATATATCAGGGATTGTCATATGGTGTGTTAAATGGAAGGGTTTTAAATGGTAGGGGTAGAAAACTAAAATTGAGGAACATGTATGGACAACAAGGGTGAAAGAAAGAGCAAACAAATACCAAGCATGTTGGAATAGCTTCTGCAATAGAACATGGCAACACATTATTATGTTGTATAATTATACTGGGTCAGACTTGGTCAGACACGAGCTAGTACTTGAATCTGTTTCTATCGTAAAATGTACATTCACCAGCTGAAACACCTATTTTTTGATAAGTATTCCAAGATTCATCATGTATAAACCATTAGTTTCCACATGTTTCCACTAACAATTGGTGATTTTTCAGGGTTAATTTCTGTCCATTTACCGCTGTATAGGTCATAGCTCCCCGGCCGCCCTGGCGTATGGCTACGGCCAGGCAGATGTCATCACCTACATGCGCTACGGCAGCTTCGCTGCCAGCATGACGGGCAACGTGATCTTCGCGGGGAGAGAGATTGCGCAGCTGGCGTGGCAGGTGGTGACCGGGAAATGGATCAAACATGTTATTGGGATACTACCCTCTGGTAAACTAAGATAACTATGGAAAATCACCACCTTTCATAGGTAAATCAACTATGAATAGCTATGCTAGTTTACCTGAGGGTACCACTATAAATAATAAACACATTAAAATAGCCATTGAATAACAATTCCACACATTAGAGTCATTAATAGTGATTAATTAATAATGATTGAGTAGTGATTCGAGTAGTGATTTACTGTTGGTGATAATGGTGAATTACTGGTTCATCATGGGGGTATGACGCACAAAATCGTGGATGATTAGTCACTGGCAGCCGTGCTGGTTGCGTCCTGGCTACTTCATCACCAATCATGGGGATAGGATAGGGCTCCCAAATATATATATATATATATATATATGTCCAACATATTTTACATGAAGTGATGATTTGTCCCCCATAGTTTCTAGGCGTCCAACTTTAGAACTGAGGGGGTTGCAAGGAAAAAACATAACTGTTCACATTCCAACACTTTACCCTTTGGTAAACTAACATAACTATGAAAAATCACCATGTTCAATAGCTTTTTGTATGTTTACCAGGTTGGGTAAGTCCATTATAGTCCATTCAGTAGTGAAATCCCAGCCACAGCCGCCACAGCCACGACTTTGGTGAGGACTTGTTGTTCTACTTTGCCATTATGGCGGCCTGGGCCTTGGGATCAGTTCTTTTTCATCAGAGCCCTGGCAGCCCTGGTTGGGCTTGATGTTGGGCTTGTCTGGGAGTTGAGCGAGCTACAAAGACCGGCTTGGTAAACTATGGAATGCTATGGAATGCTTTGGAAAATGGCCCATTATTAAGTGGTGATTGTCCAAAAAATGCATAGTTGGCTGTGGTAAACTAACATAGTTATTATATGTTATTATCACCAACTTATGACTTTTCATTGAACTGGTAATTTTCCAACGAGATGTCAGTTTATCTGGGGGTACCCTTTGGTATAATCAAATCACATCAACCCTGGAGTACTCAAGCCTGATTGATCAGTAGGGATACCGCCTTACATAGTCACCATGTCCTGCTGAAATGGTAGTCCCACGAATGATTAACGGCTCGAGCTCGGACAATTCCGGGTGGACATGATGGCATCGCCAATCTGGTGGTTCTGCAGCTTTTGAAGCCTCGGAATTTGCTGGTTGATGCTTTCAAAGATGCTGGAACAATTGCTTGTTTTGAATATGAACTGGCATGATGTACTAAGCGTATTTGCCTGTATGTGCTTGAGTTTTTGTTTTTGTTCCTCATTCAGCCCCAAGTACTCTTTCCCCTTCGTGTTTCTCCCGTTTCATCAAGGATGGAGACATGGAGCCCTCGCAAAGGCGCCTCACGTGCTGCGATGCTGGTGGCATTGAAGCAAGGCTTGAGTTGGGCTTCATGGGGGGTGTGGGTCAATGTTCGGGTATGGATATTTTGATTGCTGAGTCATGTCATGAGTACTGCATTTTTTCATGTATCATTCATATAGCCTGTAAAAGAGGATTTTAGCAATCCAAGAAAGGATAGACATGTTGATCAATCGTAAATCCACTCCGAAATAGTGCTAAATTGCGGTCTGTTGGGGGGTACAGAATGGGCATGTGACAATGTGTTAAATTCATTGAGGTACCCTAAAAGCGAAGGATTAATACTTAACAACATGACCTGTGTTCCCCCTAGGTCCCTGGGTCGTAAGTTTCAACCCATATGGCCAATATCCTGGTACTTGAGTAGCTAACTTATATTGACACAACGAAAAAATGTTTTAATATGGGTTGGTTTTATTTCTTTTGTGTTGCTATTTGATATGGCTTCATCATATATACTTTTTTGAAAGTACACACAATGATGGAAATGGACTGGATAGTTTTCAACACTTTTTCAGGGCGAGAAAGGGAGAGGAGGCCGAGTAGGCCAGCGGTAGGACAGGAGAACCGACCCCATGAGTCTAAGGTTAGATATATCATGATATAACATTATGTTATATTTTAATTGTGTTAATGGGGCTCTTATGATGAACAATCCCTTCCCCTATTCAGATGAAACAGCTCCCTGACACCACGCTGGACGCAGGGGATGAAATTGAAATCACATATTTGGATATATTTGCATATGAAATCCCTCGGGTAAACTAACGTGGCAAACTAGAAAATCTCCATTTTCTTCATAGGGAAATCAACTATAACTGGCCATTTTCAATAGCTATCTTTGACATAACCAGAGGGTAACCCCAATGCCATAAACCTACCATTTGGGGATGGCTAAAAAACCACCCATATTAAATCATGGTGATTTTGAGGCTTACCACATTAACAACATACCTCACCACCACTATGAACTACCCCAGTAAGGCACCAGTTTGAGCTGAGTTTCCCAGAGCTTCACCCAAATTCCCAACATTTCCCACCATTTCCCCTACATAGTGGTGCCCCATAGATAGCTAAGTTGGTTTATATCTCCAAAAACTAGGACTTATGGTAGATATATCTATAGTTGATGGGGTTATAAACAGACTTATAAGTGGGGGGTACCACATTGTAGGGATTCTACATGTGGAAAATCCCCATTCTGGTGGAGCCCAAAAAAACAACAGCGAAGCTCCCCTGGTTCCGCTCCCAGGATTTCCACGGCCATCGATGTGGCCTACAACATGTCGGGCAGCCGCCACCGCTGGTGGATCATTGGACTGTCGCCCATCTTCGGGGTTGAGGAGGTGGAAGCCTTGGCGAAAAACCAGGGAACAGTGATATAAATTGATATGATACCCGGCCTGGTAAGTAAACATACAAAAAACACTATTGAAGATTGCCATTTATAGATGATTTACCCATTGAAAATGGTGATGTTCCATATAGTTATGTTAGTTTACCAGAGGGTAATTGATGATCGAAGCGTTTGATTTTTCTGAGTGTTGTTGGGCACATCCATTCCGGTACATGGCCAGATCAGGTCAGGCTTGAACGTGCGTGTCGATTTGTTAAGTCGCTTTGATATCTTTGATGATGAATAGATGCAGCACGTCAAAGCCCATCTCCATATATAATATAACTATATACGTATATATAATATATATATACATACGTGTATATATTTATATGTATATATATATATATATGTATGTATATCCATATGTCCCACCAATTTCGCAGATCATTACGCGGGATTCTAGATTAATTTTGGATGACTTACCAGATGTTTGGCAGTAGATATAATAACTGATTATATATAGATGATTATAGTCCCAACAACCGATGGTGACTACTTGGATGTCTTCAACAACCGATGCGCGGCTTTGCCTCGAGGCTTTTTCCTTCACCCATTTGCGGCTGCCAGCCACGGGGGTGTCGAAACATATCTACAACCTCTCCAAGAGCTACATGCTGCTGTTTCTCGAAGGATATGATAGGAAAATCATAGGAAAATGGGAATGACAAAAGGGATGGGAATAGGAATGGATAGGGCCAGATTTGACTGTTTATGTGGTCGTGTTTTATGGTTTTGGTGGATTGGGATGGCGATGGACAAGGCTAGCTGATGGAGAGATACTTGGTGGATTTGAATTTGTGTTCATCATGATGTTCAAGTTAAATGAGTTTGGGTACGAGATAGTCGGATATATACCTTATCTATCCTTATCTGAAACACACATGTTTTAGTATTTGAGTGGTATTTGAGACCAAAAAAGTGTGTTGGGATTCTAGACCAGGAAGTCATTAATGGAGGCACCTCAGGATACGATAGGGCCAATGGGCCAATGGCGGCCAATGCCATTACAGAAACACACGCACACACACACGAATAGACTAGAATACAATAATGGCAGGGAATGTAATGGCATACAATACGATACAATCAATCTTCAACAATTATTGTATATGAGTAGATGCATCCCAATTTATGGCCACAATGGCGAAGTGCTTCGTCTGCTGCGATAGATAATTCTGGTCCACCTTTGGCCCTGGCTTCCTCTAGGATACCTCCCATTCCCAGGAGCCTCATCTAACCTTGACTATCCATAGTTGGAAGACAGCTTCCTCTTAATATGGTGGTTCTCGGGGTCTATGTTAATTTGGAGAATGGTCAATTATCATTTGCCTATGTTAATTTGGAGAATGGTCTATGTAAATCACATTTTTGTGCCGGGAAGAGTACCCATTTATCATATTCACCCCCATTGTTCCTGCTTAAACTTGGAACCATGATAAACCCCATTACAAAAAGTAAGTATAGGCTGTATATATTATATATATATTATCTTATGTTATATTATATTAAATTATATGTTATTTTATTATATTATATTGTTTTATATTATATTGTTTTATAATATATTATAATATATTATATTATATTATAATATATTATATTATATTATATTATATTACTGTATACATGTAATTATTATATATATATATACATATAATATCTATATAGAAGCATTTTAAACTATAAAGCCCATTGACTTTGAATTCCACCCAGAGGTCTTCAAGGAGATGTCGGAGCCCCACTTCCGAGGAGGTGTGCCTCAGTGCCATGATGTGTCTCGGCGGGTATCCAATTTGGGTTATATTAGATCCTTATCGAATATGGATGATTTTTTGTAATCATGAGATCTATGTCATGGTGATAAACATGATTAAAAAAACACTGATTTTATCTATGATTATATTTGATGATAATATGATTTTATGTATTATATATGTATGAATAATACTTGGAGATTGTGATATGGGGCATGGGGATCTAACGAATCTATGGTTGTATATGGTTCATATGTCTTAAGATGTAACGACCTCACTGCGACGTCACTGGAAAATGGTTGTCAACACTAGTTCAGTATCCCCCAACTGGCTTTATTTCATCTTAGTTCAGGTTGGTGAACTATTACTGTTTCCATTTTTTCCCACATCAATGGAGTAAAAAAAACAGGATGTTCTCAAAAGATGATCCCAAGACAAACCTGTGACTGCATCAAATTATCAACCCAATCGTTCTATCCATGGGGCTGGTATATTTGCCAAACAAAAACTGGGGGAAAACAATCCCCTTCAGCAGTCTAGTGCAATAGATGATGATTCACTAAATGATTCGGGTTTGTCCTTGGAAATCCGAGTCTTCGATGGAATAGGATTTACAATTTGTGAGACTTGGATACATATCCACCTGGATCATATATACATTATATCCACCAATTGTCCATCGCAATGATCCAAGTGGATATCAATGTAGTCGTGGGAATCATCGTGCACTTTGATAAGCTCCACCTTTACGTGGAAATAACCTTGCTCATGGAGACACGTAGATGCTGGGAGAATCAGAGGCGAAGAAGAGAGAGAACGAGGTGACCACAAATGATCCAGGCAAAACACACTTATGCCCCATCAAACTAACGTAGAATATGGATCAATGGGAATTTCAGGATCCTAAAATGGAGGTACGCTAGTACCATATAAGGCCATATTTTGTGGGGATATTCCACCAATTCAGGCCTTGAATGTATGAATATGGACGATGGCCCATTGATGATTCAACGATTTACCATGATTGACCCACGCTGTTCAACGATAGCTTGGTCCACACCACTCAGGTAACAACGTGATGCGGCTCCTGGTTTATTAGTCAAGTCAACACTCATTTTGGTTGCAACCTCACTGGGCTAGATGATCCAACTAAAAGAAAACACTATTACAGATTGTTCAATTGAATTGCCGATGATTACCGATGTTTATTGATGTGGTCCTTTTTTCCAGGGTACTCGTATCATTTGATGAAGGAGGCGCAAGGAAGACCACCAAAGACGCGCCGCGGCTGAGGCTGACGGGAATGACTTGTGGCGCTGTGTTGGGGCAACACCTGGCATTGGTCTTTGGTGCCTTGCCACCGGCGGTGATGCCATTCATGTTCTGCAAGTATGACTGGGGCCCTGGGGGTCATTTCAGACCGATAATTAGCCATCATCTCATTGCTTTTGGGGATGTTTTCTAAATAGGATGTCATCAACCATCTTATTAAGGATGAAATATAGATATGTCCCAGTTTTCCACCTATTAATCCCTTCCCCCGTTCATATGAAAGACACCCCCCCGAACAATCGTTTCTTTGATTTATGCATAATTGGGACCATTTGTGGGGTGTGTTAGGGGGATGGGATTACTATATGGGGTATGTAATGGCATACCCATCAATCGTTGTTGATGTCCCACCAGCATCTCGTCAACTTGTATCATCAGCTTTCCAGTGTACACATTCTGTGCTCCAATTTATACCTCAGTTCCCAGATGTTTCTTTTGGTAAGGCGTTTATAGATGGCCAGACGTCAGCATGTGCAGGTCACCCTGCTCTATGGTTTCGACCTGTTAACAGATAAACTGTAGACGCACCATCAATCCCATCACAATGTCAAGCGCACCAGAAATAATCCCAGGAGTAGAGGTGCGTTGGTGTTTCCTGCCCGTGGCACCTTTGGTTGCCATAGCCATCTCGGTACATGCTGCTTGGCGTCTCGAATTCTTGGGCCACGGGTGTTGGAAAAAAAACATGTTCACGTAGATGTACAGAATACCAGTAGGATGGGTTTGAAAGGATTTAAAACAAAACTATGGAAACTCTGCGTTATTCAGTGTAAACAAGAAGTACTGTGAGAGGGCAATCGCCATTCTGAAAGCTTTGCTGCTTGGTGAAATCCCAAGGAATGCCTTCACCATGCAGCGACTATCAGCGACGGCGACAGTGATGCGATGGACACAGAGAGTGATTCGGCAGAACATCCCCTGGAAACGTGACAGCGCGAAGCTGCGTAGCTGCGAAGCTGGAGGTGATCCCAACAGCCACAGCCATCGCCTTGGGCCATGCGGGCCATGCCATGAAAAATGAGGATCTTGGGCCATGACACCACAGATGTCGAGGGTGCTCAAGGCAGATGCTTGCGGTGGCCAAAACTATGGCTGAGGAACAACTGGAAGCCGCCATGCTGGAAAACACGGATGGACATGACGCGAGCACAGGGGACATGTTTTGATTCTTTTTGACCTCTTTGGGCTTTCACTTCTGCTACAATGACAGAGCCAGTTTCCCTAGATGAATAGGCCTTATTGCATTTCATTGCTATATACATTGCTACCCTGATTTTGTCATTCACCTTCCAGTAGACAAACGTAGACATAGCAATGAATGAAACATCACTGGTTCAATAGGAACCTATCATTTTAGAGTACCAGAGTGTGCAAGCCCATCCCCATCCCGATAGAATGGTCCCAGTCCTCCACCGCAGGTGCAGTCGGTGCAGTCCGCCTAGCGTGGACATTGCAGTGGCATGCCACATGCCCAGTGCAACCTTTTGTTAGACATATGAGTGTGTCTGAAACTGGGGCATGCCCACCAAATCGAATTCTAGCATTTTTTAACAAGGAAAATGATGAGAAACCACTGGATTTAGGGAGGGGTAACCTATTGTTATTGCTTTTCAAACGTAATAAATCCATATGTTTCCCAAAGTTTGTACCGGACCACCGGAGAATCATCCAGAATCCGACGTTTGGAGGGTCATGTTTGTGGTCGCCGGATCAGCTGCGAGTCGGGCTCGGTGGTCGCCTACCAGTGGTGTGCCTATCCACTTGCAGTTCAGAGCTTGTCAATGCTGCATCAAGGAATAAATAAAGTTCGGTGAAGTCAGATGAAATCAGAAAAAGATGCTGCACATCTTGTTGTATCTCTTTTTCATGTGGCCCCAATGTTGTAAAGCCATAGCAGGCTACGACATAAAATCTCACCAGAGGCACCCCTCCATGACCCCTAGATTCCTAGATCTAGATCATCCTAAATCATTCTAAATCTACAAAAGCGCGATTTCTGCTAGTTGATGAATGATAGAGATGGCTCGGGTGCGTTGTTTGCGATGTTTCCTGGTGGCCTTGTTGGCTGCAGGTGCCCTTTGGGACTTAGCAGCCGAGGGACCTGGGATCCGAACCATGTGTTTTTCCCACATCATGTTAAATCCTCATTCTGATACTATCTAGATCCCAGTTTTACTTGGCAAACCTCGGTTATGTGTTTTGCTTATTGGAAAGCCTTGAAAAGGATGCGTTTACAAACAAACCAACCTTTTGCATCAGTTCGAAATCAAGGATTTCGTTGCCAAATCAGCCACGTGACTGGACCTTTTCCCCATTACCTGAATGCCTAGAAGTTCCAAGATTTACAAGTCAAAGTCATACCTCATCATATCTCTGGAAGTTTGAGGGACAACAAACAGGTTCATGCAGAACTCTTCGCTGAACAAGTTTCATTTTTGAATTCGGTCACTTCTCACATGATGTAAACAAAAACACATCCCTACATATCCCTATCACTACAAATGAATTCAGTCATTGTGCCCCAAATATCCCAAGCATATCCAATATCCCAAACTCCAGGGCGACAGTGCTGGATCTTGGCCCAAAATGCCCAATATTCAGCATGTTTTTAGTCATATTCTCCACAAAATAGTTCAAAGACATCCCAAGGATATCCACAAAATACAGTATTCGATATCCCAAACACATCCAGAGATTCCCAAAGATACTGTGGATGGTTGCGACATCCTGGTAGACGTACTGTTTATCCGAGTTTATCCCATTAAAATGTCCATTTACCAATAGTTACTGGTGGATTTCGCAACCATCCACAGTATGTTTTGGGTAGTTGGTCCACCACGCTGGCAGGGAGGGGTGATGATGGTGATGGGGCGGGTGGGCGTGTTAACGTTCGTTGCACTTGCGTGATGAAGAAGGTGGAAGTTCAGAGAGTGGCTGACCCAGCGTTATCTGGTCTTCCAATTTGTTTTCCGACAGTTTTTGGCACCTGCAACTCCAAAAAGCAGTTCTTTTCACTGGTTGGTGGTTTGGAACATTTTTTTTATTTTTCCATATATTGGGAATTTCATCATCCCAACTGACTTTCACTCCATCATTTTTCAGAGGGGTAGGTTGAAACCACCAACCAGTTTCAGCATTGATAAACCATATTATTCAAGATCATTAACCATGTAATAACCATTAATATTAACCATTAATATTAACAGTATATTAACCAACATTAACCATCATTACCCCATTTTAACATATATATATTAACCAACATTATCCACATATTAACCATATTAACATTCAGTTCTTCATCTCCCAGGCCTCGTCCAGACCTTCGTCGCCTCGCCGCGTGACGCCGTGCCGCGTCCGCCGCGCACGTTGCGCCGTGTGGATGGTGCGGTGGTGGATGCCACGGAGGCAGAGGATGAGGCGGGGCTTCACCTGGATGATGAGAGTTTTTACATGAGAAATCACCATTTTTCATGGCAAAATCCACTATTTCTATGGTCATGTTCAATAGCTACGTTAAATTACCAGAGGGTAACAATATAGCTAGTAATAGCTATTGAAAATTGCCATTGATAGTTGATTTACCTATATTTACCCATTAAAAAATGTTGATTTTCCGTAGTTATGTTGGTTATATCATCTTATATCCCACCCTCCTGGATGAAAGGCTTCCTTTCTTGAAGCCCCGCGACGTTGGCTCACGTCACAGGTACAGGTGTGGAAAGACGCCTATCAGCTGGAACTGGACCCTGGGATACCCTGGGGAAATCATAGGGGGATGAGATTTTTGATTCTGATGAGTTGGGACTAATGTTATCTGGCTTTTAAGATATGAGTTTTTGTTTAGCCGTTGTAATAGATCTTGCAGGCATGTGCATAGTTATATATAGTTAGTGATTTGTAATGTACAGTAGCCATGAACAAAATAATGACGGTTTGGAATATACATAGTATATAACTATGAATGTGTGTCTATATTTTATATTTACGGCAGCTTCATAATAAAACTGTTTTTAGTATTTGTAGCGATGTGTGTGTGTGACGGTAGTGGTATTACAACAGAGAGAGGGTTTGTCATGTAATATGTTTTTGTTGTGTAGATTCAACATAGTGATAAACAGTATGTAGCCATGTAGCCATGAAATGGTTTTTGGTGGTTGGTGGTCGTTCCGCCATGTTGCTCATTTTCCACCCCCCAACTTGCATTCATGTGGAAGAGACATTTGTTTAAAGTGGCAAGGGGAAAAAACAAAGTTGTTCGAAACTTGGCCATTGGAATTCCCCATCCAAAACAAAGGTTTATAGCCGGAAAACTCATAAGAAATGGATAAAAATGGTGGATTTCCTCTTGCCCTTGGAGTGTAGCCCACTACATTTCCGTCGTACCTCAATGCATCTCAGTGCTTTCGGTGAGGAACGCGCTGACTTGTTGGACGAGCAGTTGAAAGTCGGTCTCGACAGGCTCTCTTTTTTCATTCGTGCAGAGGAGGTGACTGAGTTTTTTTTTTGACCAGTCGTGTGTGGGGTTTAACAAGTTCGTTCAATAGCTGATGATTTTCATCATGTTTATCGTTGATTTATGGTGATCTGTATAACATGAAAAAAGGAAAAACATAAATGAGGGGCAAGTTCTGGTACCAATTCTGTTTCAATGGGGTGACTGTTTTGACATGTGTTCCGTGGCGAAAACCAGGGTTTAAGAGTTTGGGGACCTTCCTGACTTTCGGGTACCCCAGTCTTGTAAGAAACTACGTTTTTGTTTCGCTGTCAGTCCGAAGTAGAAGTGGGAGGAGTGTTTGGTGCATGGCTGCCCTGTCGAAATCTGCAGCTGTATGCAGGGCTGTTGGGAATGAAACATGAATGGAGGTAATTCACGTGATTCCAGCGGGTTTGGTTCGTGAGTGAAATCAATGTTCGCCGGTTGATTGGTATTGTAAGATTGTGTGACACACTAAGTGGATGCTCATGCTGGTACTGTACAGGTTCGTGGGGTTTGCACGTGCTTCATTGATTATTCGAAACTGCTGGCACCATGATGAAACAAATAAACACATAAATAAGATATTACACATATATACATATATATATGTACTTATATGTAATTCAATATAACATAACATGATATGATATAATATAATTTATATATGTCATTTTTTTTCGTGGCAGAGCCATGGCCAACGAGTCCAACGTCTCCGATGTCGATGTCGTCAAGGGCAGCAGTGACGGCAAAGTCTTGGAGCAGGACACGGATGTAGCTACTTTGGGGGTGCAGAAGTAAATTGTATATATTGTTATATATCTATTGTATATATTGTAGATATATGATAATATATATATTTTACCAATTGGTCATATTGTTATCATATATCTCATATATACCCTCTGGTGAACTAACATAGCAATGGAAAATGGCCATTTTTAAAGGGAAAATCCACTATAAATGGCCATTTTCCATAGCTATGTTAGTTCGCCAGAGGGTATAATATTTTACCAATCGGTCATATTGTTATCACATATATAGTCTATTGTATATGATTATATGGTCATCATATTTTGGGGTATATAGCTCTTGGTGCAATCATATTTTGTCATATTGGTATCATATATGAAACCCCACCAATATCTATTACATAGAGGAGACAGATGTAGCTATATATATATATTATGGCTTCTATTTGTAGCAAACCCCACCAAGTTGGGAAGTGGATATTAACCATAATATGGAATATTAATTGGGTATGATGTGGTACCTCCCAAATAATCCCATATATCCACCCTAATAGTTGGGAAGTGAGTGACTAATCACATTCCCCTAATATGAAATACCCCAAATGAATGGAAACTGTACTAAACCAAGCTTTACCGGGGTGTACTTAATGTTAGAGGTGGAAGAGATTCAAAATCATTGTGTAACTACTTGATGCTATCCCGGCCGTGTGGCTTGGACGGGCCGTCGTTTCGCGGCAGTGAAATGAGATGTTTTTCTTTCCAGTCCTGAAGTTTAACGTTTGAAATTCTCCCCGAATAACTGCATGTTTTCATGATTTGTTGTTTTTGAAGATCATGTAGTGGATCTGACTTATCCCCCTGCTCATTGCCCTGCATTTTCCTCACCATCGTGCACGAGCTGTCTTGTCGATGTTCGCCAAAATGTTTGCATCCTTTGGCCAAACGTCATTGATACATCATCATATTTTTTAAAAAAAATATCAGGCTGTTCCTTACAATCATTACCTTTGCCCAAGCGACGTGGGAAGGAGGCTGTTTTTTTTTTCAATCCAAGTCACGGCCTATCAAAAGTGAGTAGAGCAACAGCAACACTGTGGCAACGTAGGCAACTAACGTAACAGCAACCTTTCAATGGCCATTACCTAGCATATATAAGGCCTATGTAAGGCCTATGTAAGGCCTATGTAAGGCCTATGTAAGGGGATATCCCAACAAAATATGGCCTTATATGGTACTAACGTACCTCCATTTTAGGATACTGGAATCCCCATTGAACCTCTGGACTGAGCTCTGAACCATCCCACACTTAAGAATTATATAAATAGGGAATATATGGGAAAATGATGATTACAAATGATCAACCATCAAATTTGCGGGCATCAAATGTTCAGGCAATCCCATTCTTGAATATGTTTGATAGACATCCTGCATTGTGTCTTTCTCCATCTTGGAAATCTAATTTGAAATAGGGTACCACAACTAGACACCTGGATGCACCTGGATTCACACAACGAAAGTTCAGGATGAGGAAGAGGACGATTGTAGCTTTCGAAGCTTGGCAGAAACCAACGACGTGACCCGTGTGAAACACCGACCATGTGTTGGAATATGTTGGGATGGGACATCACCATTAAAATCATTGGGTTTTCACTTTTTTTCACATGCATCTTTATCATCAAATGTGACCCATAGAAATATTTGATTTACCCATTAATAACTATCATTAACGACCATTATGTAGCGACCATCACTGAACCATATCAAGTTTCAATGTGGCCATCGTTGGAGTCCCACCTCGATGGCCTCAACGCTGAGGTGCCACCTTTTGTCCCAAGCGCTATCCAAAGTCGGTGGCGCCTGCGGCCTGGACGAAAGTTTGGCCTGGACAGCGCTATCCAAAGATTCGCTTCAATGGTCATGACTGGTAGTATCAATGATATATCAGTTTTTACATATATATATATATATGTATAATATATATATATGTTATATGTATATATATATACACAGTATATATACACTGTATATATACACAGTATATATATACAGTGTATATATACAGTGTATATGTGTGTACGTGGTTAAATTCCATGGTTCATTATAAATTAATGTACATAATGACTTGGGGATGATGTAATGTAATCTACAGAGTATATATATATATGTATATTAAGATATATATATATATATATACACGTTTCATTATGGTTCAATATATGATTATATATATATATACGTATACATAAGCATACGGTGCATCCATATATGAGTATATAGATGGTTCAAGTCACACCAACACATGACTCAATATATTTTTTAAAGACAACCGTTCGCCCTGGGGGTAATGTTTCGTCCTGTTTCAGCGATTTTGCATTGAGGAATACCGATTGTTCCAAAGCTGGGACACTGTCCAGCAGATGACAAAACTGGTGAACAAGCACGTTGGGAACCTAGCATGGCCGCTCGGCATGGGATATTTCTGGGTGGACAAAATTGCTCAAACAACCCGCAACTTAGTGATGGGCTTACATTTTGCATGTTTTTTTCCCCTCACGATTTCGAAAATAAGAGACTCCGATTCAGAGGGCCCGAAAGTGTTGGGGATGCGAGATGTTGATAATTTCATGACCAGATTGTTTTCCACCAGCCACTGGAGCGTTTTACTAACCGTTGTTGTGTTGTTCATGTGTTGTTCCAGGAATATGCTTCAGGAAAGAGCCCATATTTTGTTTCCACATGTTCCCACTGTCAGCTGACTTGCCCCCTATCACCATGGTAGAAGCATCAGCATCGCTGGCTATCCCCCTCGCGAGCCTTCTCCTTATCATGGCTTAGTTCTTGTGAAGTTTGGCAAATGATGTGGGTTTTCATTGGCCAGTTTCCTTGAGAAAATGTTTTTTTCCATTGGAATTGGAGGTGCCATATTTTCAGACAAACCAATGATCTCACGGCAAGTGGTACACACACCAATATGATTATATACAGTATATATGATATGTGTGATGTTAATGATAATGTTTGAAATGATAGCAATGGTCATGGACGCTGCATTGTCATTGAGGGTTTTGCCCTTCTTGTGCATATACATAGTGTATTGTATATTTGTGTCATGTTTCCATCCATCTATCCAGTCATTTATCTCGGCTGGACCAACCTTTGTCTATCAACATCTATCAACAGTTTGATGGCCGGTTGCGTGCCATTTGGGTGGGAAATAGATTAGCCGGCTCGGTATTTGTTAAGAGGGGTTAGCCATATTACGACTGGATCATATCCAGGTGTTTAAGCAAATTTGGAACCTGTTTAAATTAGTTCGTTGATTTATCTTATCATAATGTTACAGTTGCGTATCCTCATGGCCCTGATGTTCCACCAGCCGTCTCCAAACAGGTGCGGCTTTCACGGCGTTGGTCAGCCATCCGCTTCAGTTTCTCGCGCCGTGCTGTTTACTTTCAGCAGAGGCCTATGCAAACACAAGGCGCCTATGCAGAACGGTGGGACGGGCACCAAGACTTGCGACATCGGTCGGTTCTTCCATATTAATCCATATGATTCCTGGCATTTTTTTTTGCAATTCAAGTTTGAATTGCAGTTTTGGGTGTAGATCCCATGGGTCAAAAAAAACGTATGCTATGCTTATATCCTCCGGGAATCAAACATTGCCTGCTGGAATGTGCCCCATTTGCTTCGACAAATTTTCCATTAAAACAAGATTTGCGAGGGATTTCCAGCTAGCCACGTTTGAATTATCAATTTTCAATAACTTTCACCATCGGTATCACCGTCCATTATCTACTATCCACTATCACCATTGACGTTTTTTTTCTCACCTATCAACAAATCTTCAACGAATCAACCATCAACTATTGTGCCTCCCAAGTTTTGTTTGTTGCTGTATATATAAATATAAGCCACATTAGCTGTGTAGTATCCATCTTAATAGTTGTACATGTACACATTATCCATCATCCCATCTTAGTGGTGATACCTAGGTAAAATATACCAGATTATTCTCAACAAGGAAAATCAGGACCCTAAAATAGAGGTACTGCACCGTATGAGGCAATATTTTGTGGGGATATTCCCTTATATAGCTCTTACATAGGCCTTATCTTTGCTAGGTACCTCTAATTTAAAGCCATTGAATCTTAGCTATCTTGGGTGCAGCACATTGGATCGCCATTGGATCGGGCCTGTCTGCAGGTGTCCATGTTGTGCACCACGCCCAGGGCGACGCTCTGGTTTTCAGAGCCTCGAAATCCATCGATTTTGGCTAGACCTGAGGAATGGCAGGTAGCAAGGGGGACAGTTAATGAAAGTTAAATATGTTCTTCGGCTAGTGATGGTTGACAAAAGGGGACAAGAGATGAAGGGGGATAATTGTGGGACAATTTTGTGGATATGATTCTATTCTATACTTGATGTAATGGCGGGAGAATGAATGGCTAGTACTGGTTGATGGGAATAAGATGGAATAAGTATCAATCAATAAATTGTGGTATTTGATGATAGCAAGTGTTGGGCCATGGTTCATCATGATCTTTATAGATGTCTTTAGTCTTTAGTGTGGGCCAACCAATCATAAACCACCCATTTGGGAATTGTTCATGCCACCTGATTGTGGTGATGACTTGGGGGGTAGTTTATGGCATTGTTTTACCCACATGTGTGCTTTTAAAGAGTTGCCGCTTTCTATGGTTGTTTATGCTAACAAAACCATCATTTTTCATGGGAAAAAATGCTGGGATTCCGTCCAGAACCGCGACCAACATTCATAGGATGATCCCACAGATCGTAGCTGTTTGTTACTGGTTCTACTGCTGCTCATAACTTGTTGACCATGTTTGACAAAAAACGACAAAAAAAAAAACTACAGACATAAGGAGATGGCGATGGAGAGAGAGATAATCGTAACAAAAGATGACAACAAACAATCCGATTGAAAACAATGAAAAAAGCAACATGTCAGGAGAATATTGAACCAGCACCCAAACTATGGTTGCAAGTTTCTTCTGCCGGTCCAGGCAGAGGGGAGCATGACTCCTTGAAGGGTTGGGATGGGGTTCGGGGTTTGGGGTTTGGGGTTGGGACTTGGACAAAATCGTTCTATAGATCCACGTTTATGGAAGGTCAATAGTCCTTTGTTTGCTGAACTTTGGCATCCTGGTGCCAAGGCCTACGTCAAGGTCTTTCGGACCTTAGGGGGAACCCTGGAAGCCATCAGTGCTGCTTGGAGTGAATACGTCCTGATTGGTCAGGATTGGCTTGCTTTTGGGGCCACACGAGTATCATCGTCGAGGCAAACATGTGCGATACCTGCGATTTACAGTAGGACCAGGGAACTTGATGATTATAGCTGTAGGAATTTTGGGGTCCAGTCCGATATGACAAAATGATTGATTGGGGTTTTCAATGAAAGACTGGAAAACGCTTCACCATGGTATTTTGGCCTCAAGGTACCAGATTCTTTGTGGTGCATGTTTTTGCATACATTTCTGTTGGTTCATCTCTTGTGTTGAATAATCTCAGATTTTGACAATTTCATACAATGTCCACATAGTCCACTTTTGTTGGTAAAGTAGCCCATAAACCACCATAGAATCAGGTCCTCGCAGAGATCCTGGCCTTCCAGGCTGGGATGGGTGGACTGGGATTGGGGATATCCGGTCAGACCATGTTGAACCAGCAATGATTTATAGGGATTTGGCCAATAATCAATCAATGGGATATGAAGTGGACAGGTACTGGAGCTGTTCGGAGGGCGAACATTTCCCGAGGGGGAGCTCATGCGCCCCAGCTTCCGATTTACGTGATTTTTCAGTCCCATGAAGTTACAACCAACACGGCTGCACCTCGGCAGGCGAATAGCATCTTCATCCTGTTGGCTGCAGGGATTCTAGGACTGCAGATGTGAAGAATGATTACTTATGATCGATTGCAAGGGATGGAATTGATCTACCTTCTGGTAAACTAACATAACTATGGAAAATCACCATTGTTAGTGGGAAAACTCACTATAAGTGACCATTTTCAATAGCTATTTTAAATTACCAGAGGGTACTAATGGAGTCATTAACATTAACTGTAAAAGGTGTGGTAGTCTGGAGAAGCAATCGGCACAAAGAAATTGGCAGTCAGTGAATTGCCCTCTGGTAATTTAACATAGCTATTAAAAATGGCCATTTATAGTGGGTTTTCCCATTAAAAATAGTGATTTTCCATAGTTATGTTAGCTTACCAGAAGGTAATTGATGGGACCAATTGCCCTTTGCTAATTCTGCCTGGCAATGAATCTCAGACTGATTATGTCCAGCTGCTTTCATGCAACAAGCCCTTAATCAGCATTCAAAAAGTTCTTGGTGATGCCATGAATGTGATATCTATTAATAATCAGTTAATATGTTCATGGGCATGTTTATTAATAACCATGTTGATATACCATTGACAATGGCGATTTACCTTCGGGGGGGGTAGCCTTTTTAAGCCACAAGGTTCATCATGAATCCCAGTAGGTATTCAACATCCAATTTTATCCATCTAACTTGAGCTATCCAATCGTGACACAAATTATAGTTAGAGAAATGGGGTAAAATTAGCTTGTGGATTTTTAGAAACTACACACATGAATATATATACATATGTATATATTATATTGAAACTATTTATTTTATATCATTATATATATATATCCAATGTTATCCTCTAACATCATCTAACATCCTCTTATTAGAAAACACATCGGTTCCTCCCAACGTCCCAAGGCCCCAACAGCGCTCGCCGGCGCCACCCGCGCCAGGAGCTATGGCCTCTGCCATGAATGACGCCACCCGCGCCTGCATCTTGCAACACTTCTCCAAGGCGATTTGGGCATTTTGGGGCCCGGGGGCCAGCTGGGAAATCTCCAAAAAGAGTGTGATAGTGTGGTAATATAGTGATGGTTAATAGTGGTTAATAGGCTATAAACCAACAACAATGGGAATATGATGATGATCTGGTTGGTGGTTTGGAACATGAATTTTATGACTTTCCAGATGTTGGGAATAGTGACCCCAACTGACGAACTCATATTTTTCAGAGGGTTGAGACCACCAACCAGTATAATATTATATAATTGATTATATATATACATAAAAATAACCAGCTTCAAATACAGCAGATGTGTAGATGTTTGCAGGGTAGCTAAGGTTGGTGAAGACCTCACAGGATATTGAATTAGACCGAACTAGAGCACTGTTTCCCGTGAGTTGTTTGTTTGTTGACCTATCTTCGCATGGAAACCAGATGGCATCTACATGTAGTATTTGTTGTTGCTTCATTTTGCTGGCGGTTTCTAATTCTGTATACATCCATGAATATATCAATATAACATATATATATACATATATGTAATAAACATAACATAATTATACATAACCCATCTTGACAGAAGCAGGGCATTTGAAACTCATAATGTTACAGACCCTATGGCCTGGTGGCACAAGACCCTATGCATTGAACTCAAAAAAAATAAACTAAAAAAGCGGTACTGTTGTCTTGCCAAGTTGCAATGCAACCCTCACTTCCTTTACAAGAAATTATGTGGTTTCTTTATGTTTCTTTGGGGGTGATTTTTTTTTGTTTTTACATGTGTTTACGGTATCCTGTTCATGGGCAAACCACAGGATTTGCGTTAGACCCAGTCCCACGGGCGCGAGGAGAAAAACAACCATGATGTGACCCTGAAGGACGTCACATCGAATGGTCATAGACATGGCAAAAACTACATGCCCTTGGGCAAGATTTTACCTTTTGAAAAGGCCGACTTTTTCGATATGATATATATATATATATATAATATACATAATATGCTATTATATGCTCTAGTTCAAGCGTTTTTTCAATTTAGAACAATAAGTTAGGATACAACCCTTTTATGGCACGATGGCTATATGATGGCCATAGGTCCACTTACGTGGAACTGCACCAGTATGCAGACAGGTTATCTATATAGGTTTGGGGATAAGACCAGGGTTGCCGGTAAATTGTCCCTTAAACTCACTGATTGACCTGATTGACATAGTGTTGTTAGTTTTTGAAGTTTCAACCAGTGATATTTTTGAACGTTTAGGAGAACAACCAAGACAGTGCCGGTGGCTTCGTGGGGTGTCTCGGAGGTGCGGCGGTGCCGGATGGTGGGACCAAATTGGTAGTCCAACATAGCTATATATTTGTATATATATATATACATTTAAAAATATATATATATAATAAATCGGATAACTCCCGATGCTGACAAATAGTTGAACATAGCTATGATTAGCTATGGAACATGACCAATTTACAATAGTTTACTGTATATATCGTTAATAGCGTTGAATTCCCAAAGGTTGGGTCATTGGTGCTTTGACCTAATGGCACCCACGATCCCAGTGGATACTGATCCTGGTGCTGACTAGCAATGTGGGTTGGAGATGCTTGGGGGGTCTACGGGAAAATATGCAGGACAGGTTGTTTCCTTATAGACCAATGGAAGGTGTCCCGAAAGACACCGAAAGACACCGAAAGACCGATTCTGTGATCATTTGTGATCTTTGTTCCCACGGAATCTGGAATGGTAATCTTGACTGACTAAGATTTGCGTTAGGGATTGAAACCACTGACTGCTTGGACAGGGATCATCTGGGATCAGATTCAAAAACCATGGGGCCGGACTCGGAACCTGAGATTTTGGATTGGCATTTTTGAGAATCCAGCGTTCCGATTTGGAGCGCCATTTTTTTAAATCGGAGTTCAATCAACAGAAAAGGATGTTGAAACAGCAAAGTTTGGAATCCAGAAGCCACGCCATAGAAATTGCACAATGTAACATCTGATGACTTGATGATCTTGATGCACTATTCCATCGCAAGTCCTTCCTGCATCCAATAACTCTTTGGATCTACAAGGTGGGGCCCCCCAGTGATGTTTGTTGGTTTATAAGCCCCAGTAACTATAGTTATAAGTACCATCAACCATAGTTATTGGAGTTATAAACCAACTTAGCTATCTAACGGGGGCCTCACATTGTAAGTGTGGTGTTTGATGGTCTCAACATGTCTCAAGCCGGCCTCAGTGCAGGCTTGCTGCTGGTCTACTTGCTGGGCTCCGAATTTGATCGTCACTCCGGCAGCTTAGTGATGGCGGCCACCAGTTGCTTCTGCCTGCAGCTCGGCAGAGGATCTGATCTTTGGGATAAAAAGATGGGGGAGTGGATTTTACATTGCAAAAGAATGTAATACGATTATCCAGTGTATCCATTTTCTTTCGGCAGGAGTTTGTTTTTTCCCTTTTTTTTTTTTGGATGAAGATTTTCCCGAGTTGTTTTGTGGCACTTCTGGGATCTTCTAGGGCCGACAGCTCACTGAAGAGATAATTAACATCCTCCTATGGTGTTACCCCAAGAGAATGGGGGTACTGGAGCCCCCCCCCAAAAAAATCGAGCAAATCTGAAATAAAATGGGGTCAAACCCCAGGATTTTATTTTGTGGGGTGCATTTTATTGTTTGAGGGGTTCAACACTTGCCAGGTGGGGGGGCCCGACGCCATATTCTCTTTGTGTTTGTGCATTGTGTTTTGCTTGGATTATCCTATCTTGCCGTATGCCCTATCATTTTATTGGCATTTTGTTCTGGCCCCTGCATTTGATTTTATTTTTTTAGGGGTTCCACCCCCCCCCTGGCACCACACGGGGATAATTAACCATCAATAGATGGGGATCTGGGATATTTCATAGGGATGTAAATGGACATAAGGGAACGCTAGTAGGATATATCATATACCCTTCTGATAATTTGTTGCAGTTTGCTATGGAAGTTATGTCCCATTTAATTATTTTTTATCGTGCTTTTATCAATCCCATGGATCCCCGACAAGAGGTAAACCACAAACTATAACAAAGAAGCATTATCTGTTTATTCCCCACCTGCCAGGTGAGGGTTGTTAGATTTTATGTCAGTTGCCTCCTCCTCCTCCTCCTTCTCCTCCTCCTCCTTCTCCTCCTCCTCCTTCTCCTCCTCCTCCGCCTCCTCCTCCTCCTCGTCCTCCTTGTCATCCTTGTCGTCCTTATCGTCCTCGTCGTCCTCGTCGTCCTCGTCGTCCTTGCTCAACTGCGACCCGCGATCCACAGTGTTCTCTGCCGGACCTCAACCACGACCCCCCACGCCCAGTGTTCCCTGCCGGACCTCAACCACGACCATCCACGCCCAGTGTTCCCTGCCGGACCTCAACCACGACCATCCACGCCCAGTGTTCCCTGCCGGACCTCAACCACAACCATCCACGCCCAGTGTTCCCTGCCGGACCTCAACCGCGAGTATCCACGCCAAGTGTTCCCTGCCGGACCTCATGTAGGAAGATATGGGACAAAGAATGTGCAGAAGAAAGTTAGAAAGAATGTCAGAAAGAATGTCAGAAGATATGCCAGAAGATATGCAAGAAGATATGCCAGATAGAATGCCAGATAATATGCCAGAAGATATGCCAGATAGAATGCCAGATAGAATGCCAGAAGATTTGCCAGATAGAATGCCAGAAAATATGCCAGAAGATAAGCCAGATAGATATGTCAGAAGATATGCCAGAAGATATGCCAGAAGATATGCCAGAAGATATGTCAGAATATATGCCAGAAGATATGTCAGATAGAATGCCAGAAGATATGTCAGAATATATGCCAGAAGATATGCCAGATAGAATGCCAGATAGAATGCCAGAAGATTTGCCAGAATGCCAGAAGATATGCCAGATAGAATGATAGAATATGCCAGAAGAGAAGATATGCCAGATAGAATGCCAGATAGAATGCCAGAAGATATGTCAGATAGAATGCCAGAAGATTTGCCAGATAGAATGCCAAAAGATATGCCAGAAGATATGCCAGATAGAATGCCAGATAGAATGCCAGAAGATATGTCAGATAGAATGCCAGAAGATATGCCAGATAGAATGCCAAATAGAATGTCAGAAGATATGTCAGATAGAATGCCAGAAGATGTGCCAGTAAGAACATGTATAAATGTCATGGTGGGGATCACACGAAGTAAAGTATTTTTTTTTACTTTTTTGTTGGGGACAAAAGTGCAAGGTGGTGACTTAGTCCCCCTGGAATTGGTGGACGGTCGATTACCCATCTAACTACTGTGAGCAACATAAATTCAATGATTTCCGCACCTTTGGGATTCTCACACCTCTGAACCGTGGAGAACTGATTCCAGCAGATCTGAACAGTGGCAAGCAAAACTGAGCGCTGTTTTGAACATTGTTCCATCAGGGCCTCAAACTGTTGGGCATATTGCTCCAAACATCAAAGCTTGCATATTCAATGCAATCAGGAATATCTACTTCGCTACTGTCATTTCGTTATCATCAGTTTGATGCCATGACAGCCTTTGGTTTTTTGCCCCACTGATGACAGTCTGTGCACGGCTTTGGTTGGCAAACCCACCAGAAATTTGAATTTCGATTGAATTTCTAGTTTCGAAAAATGCCGTTTCAGAAATCATAAGAAATCCAGGTGCGTTTCCTTGCGTAATTATGTACGCCGGAGGCCATCTCTCATACGAGCCCGAGTGCAGTGCGCGAAAATTTCCGCAATGGTGTTACTATGGCTTAGGAACTCTAAAACATTGTGGGGTATAGTTGTTAGATGCGCTTTAAGCATGTTTCAATTGATCCACGCACACACACAGATATATAATGATATATATATATATATATATTGTTGCCCAAACAATGTTCGTGATGTCATTTCTGCATGTTTGATCCAAGTTGGACCCTTTGGCATGTCTTCAACATTTGCGCGCTCTTCGCACACAGTGCGTTCAAAGTACCCTGGTTAACTGGTCCCAGTAATTATAGACCCAACTTAGTTGACGGGCTGGGTCCATTCCCATTAAACCACCATTTTCCCCATACTTGGTGGTAACATCCAGTTATAAAGCAACAAAATTGTCATATAACTACAGAAATCAGCTATAAATCCCGCATCATCCCACTAAATCTCCAATTTTCCTGGTTAAGCCTCCGCTTTTCCATACTTTTCCCGTATTTACCCGTCATAAATCTGGCATTTCTATTCATTTCTCCCCTTTTTTCAGGTGCTGTATTCATGCAGTCACAAATCTGGCGTCAGCAATGGTGCTGAAGATTTCGCCGGCGACCTTCACGCTGCAGCACTGCAAAACAAGGAGATCAACAATTGGGTGCAAATGTTGGTGAAAAAGCGATCAAAATACCCTCTGGTAATTTAACATAGCTATGGAAAAGTGCCCATTTATAGTTGATTTACCCATTAAAAATGATGGTTTTCCATAGTTATGTTAGTTTACCAGAGGGTAATCAGTTTATCATTTTATATGGTGATTGATACTGGAAAATATAGTGATACTGGTTGATGTCATGGAATCTCTAGGACAGGATTTTGATAAATCCTGGTTGATTAAGGGTGAAGCAAGAAACAAGTGATATTGTAATAACCCAGATTTTCCGGGGGAGGGACACTAGTTATGTCTAGTACTCTAGTCCCCTCTGATCTAGCTTGGCAATGGACGATCTCCATGTTGCAGAGAATGTTCCTCTTGAAGATGAGTTACAACACGTTTTTTTTTTCTCCCTTGCCAGCTTTGAAGTACCAGAACATATGTCATCACTTCTCCACGTTTCCGCAAGAGTCACCTCCACGACGTCAACTCAGAAAACACACCATGTAACTATACGCTGAAGCGTGCGCGGTTGTCAGGAGATTTGTGACACTGACCTCTGGCAATACTTTGGCTGCTACTGCTGATACTGCAAAGGCTGGGAATGTGGAGATTTTTCGACTGCCATCAGACCAGATACTCAGCTCGGGTGGGAAAGTGAGGCTGTGACCATCAGCTGAGTGTGATGAATTTTTTCCCTTCGGGAATTCCAAAAAGTATAGGATAAATTGATATGCATCGTTCATGTGGAATTGATATTGTCAGACCCCAGCGTCTGCAACAGTTAGTATATATATCATACACTACAATACAATACGCTAATTATACATACATATATATATATATATACATACCTGTGTGTGTGTGCGCGTGTGTGTGTGTGTACACCCCCCCCCCCGGAAAAAAAAAAAAAAAACATTTGCCAGACCTCACAGTTGGTTCATCATTTCTCCTTTTCCCAATGGTTGGACCAGTGGCATTTTGTAGCCATCCATTTGTAGCCCAAACATGACACATGTTGATTATGTAATGTCATTTGCTCCGCTGGCACACCAGCACAAATCATACAAATCATTTGATGATGTGAATAATTGTGAATAGAATATATGGTTTCATATTTTATGGAAGCCAATTTTGATTAAAAAACTGATGGTCTTTTGCATTTGCAAAAATCAAAAAGACAGAGATAAACTGGAGAGAGAGAGAGATAAACTGGACTGCCATGGTGCTTTCTAGAACAGCCGACTATCGCTTGGCCTGTTGGGCCACTGACCATGGTGTTGATGCTGGTAGCCGCCCAGAACCTGGCGGAAAAAAACAGCATTCAGCCACCTATGATGTCCGATGCCTAAGTCAATTTATCGCATTTTATAGTAATCACCAAAGGAAATAGAACATTAAATCAGCATCCGTCAGCATGGTAGTGTGATTTGTTTTCTGTCCTGTTTTGGGTTACTCTATGCCATTTTGCCATAACATATTGGTTCCCCATGTGGCCTGGCCATGATTGCCAGAGGGTATGACTCAGGATTCCGGGAAAGGCTTTAATGAGTGTGGATGGCGTGTGGTTCGATCAAGATTCTTGGCATTTTGTGGTTGCGTTGGCGTACGCCCGGGCATGTCCAATTTCATTATGTTATAAATAACTGTATATAATATATACATACTTATATACATTTAGATTATATACTAATATGTAGACCTGGATCACCCAACTGGTGGCAATTATCAGTGGACTTCGGTGTTTGTTGCTGATTTGTCCCTTGATTTGTTCCTGACTTCACTGATAAGTACCGTCAATGGCCTGTCAAACATGCCATGCAGTGGGTCCCAGTGGCTATTCAAATGTCGTGACAAAAGTCGTGAGAAAAGTTGCCAACTCACCGATCCTCATTCGAGATCCTAGAGCGATGCAGTCCGACTGGATATTGTGCACGGCACCTCTCTCTAGCCCAAGTTGGAGAGGGTAAGTGAAAAAAAATGTGAAAAAGAATACGCACCTGAAATTCCCAGAAGAAAAAAAAAGAAGCAAACATGTGCAACTCCCAAAAATGACGTTTGTTTGAGAAATCTTATTGATGACCATTGCAATGCCTGTAGGCGGATCAAATTCCGTAGAAAGCAGTGCTTGCATTGGCCTGTTCATAGCATGATAGACTATCTGATAGACCATCTCTGATTAAAACACACCCTAACTGATCCAAAATATGTATAAATCCATGTAAATCCCCTACTAGACATTCACTAACTAAACCACAGTTTCTGGGCCAAACGATGCGATTCCTTAGGATAAATGACGAAAGGCAGTATGTTTTGTGGTTCCAGATTTTAAGGAGTCCTATGACCACATAATTGTCACTTCGGGACGTGTTCCACGTTAATGTTCAATTGAATTTGATTGTTTGAAACGTCAAACGGTGATTTGAGGCAAGACGCAACCTGAATTCTTTGTGACCACGGATGGGTAAGCCGGGTAAGAGGTTGGTGGTTTCAAGGAATTCCAAGGAATTCCACCAAGGTAAGAACAAGCAGCACCATTTCTTGTAGGGGATCGCCCAGTCGACAATCGAAATTGTTGGATCCAACGAACCAAGATGAACCAAGCACCAACCAGCCTGAAGCTTGAGTCACTTACCCAACACTGGTACAGTAAAATCAAGATTCAATATATAGACCTGGACAGCATACAGATATACATGTTTAATATATTTTATCATATGTGTAGATCATTTCCTTGGATAGCCATTGGTTTTTCGAGATGATATTTATGTATGGCAATGACACAATATGTCCACACAGTGAACTATTAAGTTAACTATAGATTTACATAATTAATTATTTCAGATCAGTATGTTTACTTTTTCAGGTCAGGCTATTTTGTTAAAAGTGGATACCATTTTTCAGGGTCAAACATCGTGTTATATCCCAACCTATCGGGCTTTGTATCAGGATGGTGTGGCTACCGATCACCCCGTAGCATCTGAACTGGAAGAAGATGGGCAGAGCGTGAGACTGCGAGACGATTCTCTGGCTGATTTTTAGGTTTCATGGGGTCTATCAATGCTTTTACCCTCTGGTAATTTAACATAGCTATTGAACATGACCATTTATAGTGAGTTTTCCCACTAAAAATTGTGATTTTCAATAGCTAAGTTAAATTACCAGAGCGTAACATTTTTTTTGATGGCATAAAGATGGACTAATAATTATAATTGGACTTGATGTGATTCAATAGGATTGATAACCAACCATCGAAGGGCTATAACCAACCAAAGTGGGGGATAGTCTAGTAGGGATATACCAGAGGCTATGAGAAATCACCATTTTTAATAGGTAAATCATCATAAATCATCTATACATGATAAATTGGCAATTTTCCATAGCTATTTTTAATAACCAGAGGGTAAATATAAGCCAATCACAATGATATGGGAATATTAGTGGGATATCAATAGGATATCCCGTCAACAGTCTGATTTTTGGGGTGCCTGAAAATTGCGTATACCCCCTAAAATAGAAGAAACATAATAGTAGGAAGAACACATGGTTCACAATTGGATTCTAGAGGTAGCATGTTTCAGACAACCCAATTATCATCCCTTCTCCCGAGTTTTTTCACCAATCAACACCTGAAACCTTGATTTAGTGCTGGATCTCTCCTTTTTGGCGGTCAATTTCCGACGTTGCCCTTTTTGTTTGCCAGTTTTTTGGACATGTGAAGTTCATGTTTCTCTGGTTGGTGGTTTGGAACATTAATTTTATTTCTCCATAGAATGGGAATAATCATCCCGACTGACTAATATTTTTCAGAGGGGTTGAAACCACCAACCACTTCTTTTTCTTATTGTCGATCCAATGTTTGTTGCACACGAAACAGCTCGCATGACATCACCAGAATTGTCCATGTCAACGGCTCATGTGTTACTGCGACATACTAATATATATATATATATATATTTGGTTTAGGGCCTGTTACAGGTGTTCTTTTTTGCAGTGTTTTCACACACGTCTACGCAGCCTTTGTTTTTGCAGCGCGCATCCATGTCGCAACGACGATCACCGTGGTGAAAAAAAAGTCACGTGCGCCTGCCACTCTAATTCTTTGTACCTGCCGGCCACAGTCCCTGGTTTGTTTCCAGGTGAAAAAAAGGCGAACATGGGCACGCCACGCAAAAATTGAAAGCTGCCTGCCACAACTTATCCATCACAGTACTCGTACAGCAAGGATACAAAGTACCATCAGCCAATCCTCCTGGACAGGTTCAGGCACCGGCACGCCTGACCAAGTTTTGCAGAGCTCGGCTGCGTGGTGACTGCGGTAGTCGCTGCGTAGGGCCCAACATCAACTGCCAATGGTTTGCCGGCGGCGTCTGCGGGCTGGTGCTGCGTGGGCGCCTGCCGGCCGGGTTCCCCGGGGCAGGCACCCCCGTGCCTTCGTTACTGTCTGCACGTGCGGCGACTACGGCGTATGGCAGACGCTCCATGGCGTTCGGCAAGCTTACTCCTAACCCCCGAAAAATAAGCGTAAGCGTGGTACATAGTGCCTGTACATCTATGTGCTTGTAACTGTGTGTAGCATTATGTGAGTCATGTAAATCATGTGTTTTCTAAAGGAGTTAACTAGGTAAACACTTCTTCTTGCGCTTCTTTACACACCAGACACATTCATTCACGCGATTGATTGAAGCTCTTGCTCGGACACGTTGGGGACGTGTTGGAAGAACTCTTTGTAGCTTTTCTTCGTGCGATTGGCCGGCACAAGAGGCAAGTCCTGAATGGTGCAGCCCTCCACCGTCACTTCCTCATACTGGTACTTGTCATAGTACACCAAGTTGGTGGACTTGACCGCTTCCAGCGCAAGCTCCATGATGCAGTGACTGCCAAATGGACGCAGATCCGTGATGCTCTAAGAAGGCTGCGGGTGCATCATCGAAATCAGGGCTGCGTGCAAACACAGCAGGGAAACAGCACTACATGTGCATCATGTAGCTCCGTACAAGCGGCCTCTGACCCCACATGGAGAACATCACCGAACATGCTGCCCCGCCTCCTGCATTCTCAGGGGCTCTCGAAGAACAGCGCGGCCTGGCCAACAAGAGTGTCCAATCAGAATATGGTCATGTGTTCTTGTAATGCACCGTTTCCCCAGGGATTGCATCCTAGGGGGGGGGGAGGCTGGGGACTCCTGGTGGAAATTGCAAATCAGCCACATACCCCCACCAGCCCCAAG